TTTACGAATTTTCTTTTCTTGCTGGGGATTCATATAAATCCGTGTGAATATGTAATCTGTGTAATTACTGCGGTAAATCCTGCCTTAATTGTTCAATCCGCCATTATCCAAGAGAATTTTTTTTGTGATTCTATGTAGTCCTCCTCTTGTGACTACAGCTGAGCAAGAGTAGGGTGAGATACTTACATCCTCGTCCCTTAATCAATCAATTTTAACATTTTTAGTATCGTGTAAGTTTTTTTTTTTGGTAATCCGGAACCCCCGCACACCGGACAAAGGTAAACTCGGGTGACGCTAGCGCAGGGACCCACCACCACGACGTCACGCTTAAGAATCTTTAACGCCACTACTGGATTCGAACTCCTACCCTTCGTGGGGGAGGGGAGCCCGAAGCTGCCAGCCTGGGCCGAGGGCGATGGTAGTATCGTGTAAGTTCGAATTCAGTCGTATCTATAAAAAGATTTGGATTCCCTTCTAAAGATGCGCTTTTCTCCATTTGAAAAAGAATATGAAATCTCTAGCTCGTTTCAAAATTGAGCAATGAGTATGGGACCAGTCAATAAGCCTACAGCTATCCAAATGATCTCATGAGAATCTTCCTCTTATTTATGAGTATAATCAAAACACAAACCCAATTTTTCTTTAACCCGAAATGTACATGTTACTTATCTAAACATACCCATTTAACTTGTTAGTCACCACAATAATCGCGTTATTATAATTCTTAACGTGTGAGATTTGCTTGCAACACCCTTACGAGGTTCCTTAATTGAGCAAAATTACACTGTTCATATTCAATTTCTAAAATAGACACTAAACTTCCTCAAAATTTTTATATATGTTTAACTTTCTATCTGTTATTAACGTGAGATGCGCTTTCGCGATTTTTATAAAATGGCAATTTGAATCATGAGAAGCTCGTGTATGATCGCCGTACGCATCCCATCGAGTCCTCATGTTTAACGGAACTATTTTTCCAGAAGAGTCACGTTTTCCTTCATTTCTGGTAGGAGGAAACTATAGATGGATTGGTAGATCATAGACATGAAATTCAACTAGATTGGTATTTAGTCAAATTTACACGCTCATAATATTCATAACCCGTAACCCACCAATCAAGAAACATGATTGGAGGAGGGACGGAGGAAAATACAGCAATTTCGCAAATGTCGCATTTAACCACGAAAATACTGCTTTATTACCGAGGCTCCATTTGTTTAGCAGAAAATGAATGGCTTTGATGATATTTTCCTAAAAATGATTACTTGCATCGCTTGAAATAATTACTCAATAGAAAATACTTATATTATCGATAATAATTTATGTCTAAATATTTTTGCGAACTATGAAAATATTTTGCGTCCATTTACTTTCGTAAGTGGTAGAATTTTGAAGCAGTTGGCAAATGCATAGTCGTAGAATTTTGAAGCAGGTAGAGACAAACCTGCAAGCGCTGACGCCCACAAAACCTGCCTCGATATGAACTGAAACCAGCTCGTTCCAATTGGCCTTATCGAAGCATTTCTTGAATCTTAGAAAAAAAGGGGAAAATTTCAACGTCATGAACGGAAATGGCCTGCAGATTCATCACTCTTCGTGAATGGACTGAAATCAGCAACTCCTTTTTCTTAATCGCAGCCCGGAACCGATGGTTAACAATACACTACACGACATTTTGATAGAACTATATTCTTTTTATTGAATTACATCTTGCGATAGAAACAATTTGACCCTATATTTTTGTAGCTTGAACATCTGCGGTTAGATATTTGAATAATAAAAACCCAATTCAGGTTCGCCAACACGAGAGTCCACTTTCTGTGGTGTCTTTTCATTAAGTTTTTTCTTTGGGATGAGGGGATTGAGTGCTAAAACTTGTCCCGTTGGGACAATTAATTCATAAAAGTTATTAGCATTTTCCGTTTGTCAAGTTATACAAAATTATTGGAATGACTCGATCGCCCAGCTCTCGCCTCTGGCCAGTCCGGCGACCGTCCGGTTGCCGGACCGGCTAGAGGAAGAATTTAGAAAAAAAAAATTTATTAAAAAAATTCGAAAAAAATATTAAAAATTGCCACGTCAGCGTTGGCCGGCACTGACGTGGCCTCTGGCCGGCTGCCACGTCAGTGCCGGCCGGCCAAATGGACTCAATTGATAAGAAGTGAAAAGGTTTATGATTGAATTGGCAAGAAGTGAAAAGGTTTATGACTGAATTGACAAACTTAAAAGGTTTAGGACTGAATTGGCAAAAGTGCAATAGGTTTAGGACCATTTTGACAATTTTCCCTATGGTTAGTTAGCAAGAATAAATTATCTGCGAGGAAAACAAAGTACCCTGTTACAATCAGAGAATTGAGATTAAAATCTATCAATATCCTCGAGTTGTTAGTGAATATGTGTAGCCTTGTGAGGTATTTCTATGCTGTCTCAGCCAGTTCGCTCTTTCCCTTTTATTCAAAACCGTTCTTATCGAACTGACAATGACCTTTGTAATCTAATGTTGGGGAATTGCTGGGGGTTCGTTCCTCATTTTTTGTGTCCGGCTTCTGGGACACCCTTCTATCCCATCCGATTTTTGATGTCCAAACTAAGTTGAGCATCCATGGTGTTTTCGTATCAGGGAGCATCAAGTTCCACCCAAGACATGGACGAGGATTTCACTCCGGTCGACGTGGACGTGAACCTGGTGAAGAGCTTGCTCGACTCCTTCTCTTCCCAAGACGGACTTCCCGGACCGGCCTCGAATTTGCTCGGTCTCATGGGGTTCCGCCTCCCGCAGGACGGCAACAAGGGGAAGAAGTAGTCTCCAGCCTCTTTCCGTTTTCATCAGCACGATGCAGAACTACTCCTGTAAATAGGTCAGTCTTTCGGATATATTGGACGGCTGCATGCTACAATCTTAGAAGAGGGCCCGTGTTTTTCAGTTGTCATGGCGACTGTCGCTTCCACGGCCGTAGGATGTATTATCGACTTGGTCGCGAACACTTTAGAACACTGTGTTTGCACTTTTGAACAAATTATGAAAATAGGTTAACATGATTACATGAGTTTAATATCATCCAAAGGTCATCATGTTAAGATAGATTATGTGGCTGATAATTCTGATAAACAAGTTTTTAGATGTTTTGACTCCCAATTTCCCAAAATCCCAAGCAAGATCTTCTTTGTATTATTCAGGGTTGTTCTTCACCAGCTGGGCATTTACTTTCTAGGCTTTTTTAACTCCTGCTCACTTCCAGGCAAAATTACAATAATGCCCACATTCCCCTCTGATCTTCGCAGCTCGGGCTATCCAATCCGAACCCTTCGATCTCCCATCCGACGGTCCATATCTCCCGTCAATTCGACCACACTATTTGCCGTCGTTTTCGTTTCTTTATTTACCCTGCTCCTCGTTTCTCACGACGAATTAAGAAAAGAGGAGAAAAATCACCATGCGGATGGCGGCGGCGGCGGCGGCGGCGAGGGACCGGGAGCCCAACCACGCGCCGATGGAGGAGGAGCAGCGGCGCGTCGGCCGCACGGCGGCAGGGGGGCTGACCTTCTGGACGTTGTGCCCCTACTGCTACTACGCGCACGAGTACGAGAAGGCGTACGAGGGATGCTGCCTGCGGTGCGCGACCTGCGGGCGGGGCTTCCACGCGGCGGCCATCCGCGCGCCGCCGGAGGCGACCGCGTTCGGCGGCGGCGGCGGCGGGGGGGCGGAGCGCAACGGAGCAGTAGGAGGAGGAGGAGGAGGGGGAGGAGGCCATTATAAATGCCGCTGGGGGCTGTTCCGGCTGAGGTACGAGTTGGGCGCGAGGGAGGAGGGGAGGGGCAAGGAGGAGGGGGAGGAGAAGAAGATAGACGTGGGGGATTATTTGGTGGAGATATCGTCAGAGGACGAAGGAGGGGAAGCTAAGAAGGAGGTGGAGGTAGAAGAAGAAGAGAGGGAGGAGGAGGAGAGCGGTGGGGAGTTGGAGTTGGAGTTGGAGTTCGAGTACGAAGGAGACGACATTCTGGTGAGTGCTTAGACCCAGAGGGACATATCAAGCCTTTTGTTTTTGTGTCCGATATTTGATGCATAGTCACACACGCGCCCTCTCTTTCTCTTCTTGGTTTCTTTTTGGTTGCAAGAACAGTGAAAGTGTGTACAGCGGAAGGAGTACAAAAAAAGAAGAGAGGAGGGATATTGACAAATTGCTGATTTTTGAAATCCAATTTCTCTGTTTGTGTTGGAGAATGGTATTAGAATATATTAGCTTAAAAGTCTTGTTTGACTTGGAAAGAGGAAATAGGTCAACAATACGAGGGGAGAATACAAATGGGTATCGATTGTTTGTTGGGCTTTGTTCCCTTTCTTTGCCGAAGCAGCAGTCGCTGTTTGTGTCTGTATGATGCCTATCAAATGTCACTCTTTTGAACTAGATTTCTATATTTCTGGAAAAACCCTCAACGAATGAGGATACTCATTGTGAATACATGACCAAAGGCATATAAGCGATGCGCCTGTAACGGTTTAAGATGAGCAACAAGGGAGCTTTGCCCTTCGAGAGCTGGACCAGAGCATGAGTCGAGAAATCTTATTAGTCCCCGCCGCAGCCCTGGACCGTCTCATTCTGGCCACCCCAAAGAATTCTGCTTCTACTTTTATTGATTCAATCCGCTCAAAGATCTCAGGGTATTTACTTTGTGGGACTCGCTGATCCGTCCGTCCTCCCACATGATGATGCTGGGAAACCTGCTGTTGATAATCGAAGGACCAACATTGGTTAAGTCTTTGAAATCAGGAAGCCCCGGGAAAATGTCCCAAAATCTCATCAAACAGTGTCGTAAGCACAATAGCCGGCTACGTCGTTTTTTGCACCATAATATAAGTAACCATCTCTATGACTTGAAATTGGATGTACAGCAAAAGAATCTTTCCCCTCCTTCCGATAAACAACGTGCCTTAAAGGCAAAAGAGTGCAGTTTATTTGACCGATCCTAATGATTTCACTGAGGGGCTCTCCGTGACCGACTAATCCATCGGAATCTCCTCCGGAAGGACTCCACGTTGCAAGCAAATCGATCCCTTGAGAATTCCTCAACTTGGCATGTCAAGCAAGATCGACAACAGGCCACTGTCTCGGTAACCATATGATCAAGAGGACATCTACCCACCTGAAATGTTTTGAGCATAATGTCACTTATCAATCGAGAAAAGAACAACCAAGAGACCATAAACTAAAAGTACAAGGTCAGTTGGTCTAGTGATACTTTAAAGCGAGGAAATTTCAATTTAAAACAAATAATTGGATCACTGCTTCACAGAAAAATATTGTACTATGCCTCATTAGGTTTCAATTGCATGCCGCACATATTTGACCAATCTATCCGGGGAAGTCCGGCTTACATTCCCGGCCTTCTCTTTAGACCATATTGTCTTTCTGCTGAGCTTTCTCCATTACGGCAGACTAACCATTTCTTTTGGGCGCGCATTGACCCATTAACTTAGTCCCGGGGAGAAAATTTACCTATTATTTACCAGCATCCTGACATCACAGGATCAGACGCACGGGCAAGACCGTCCTCACAAAAGATAGATGAGCAAGAGTCAGTCAGGATTTATACAACGGAATGTCCCGTCCGCAATGTGCTTTGATAGCTTCTTCCAATTTCTCCATCCGGTCGTAATCAACCTTGAAGGTAACCATGGTAGTAACGTCTTTACCAGTCTCATAGTCCTGCTTGATGTCCTCAGCATGGAAAGCTTGTAACTGGAAAGTCGGAAAGAAATCAAATCAACAGAAGGATAAAGCACGAGAGATATACACTTCCGAACCACTTAAATGTAAAGGAGGCGAGGAAGCAAGGATACTCCAAACTGAAATGCAGTTGACTTAAATATCACGAGCGAGACTACAAATATTCTATACAAATATATATTGGCATGCCCGAAACTGTACTAAGAGAATATAGTGCAAATAGACAGACTGCATTATTTAAAAAAAAAAAAAAAACAAATTTTGGCAACAAATCAGGTAAGCTAACATGTCAAAGGAGCACTGGGTGAGGCAAACTTTGACAGGTTTCCATCTGTCTAATACAGTTGCGGACAGAAAACTCGGAGAAAGAGAAATTGCAAACCATATGAACAATGTTATCTAATTGAGTTATGGAATATAAAGCTAAGGCAGCCATTGGTGGATATACTCTCTTTGAATTCTATCAAACTGATCTCTACCAACACCAACAGTGAAAACTGGTAAATTTCCTTTCCTATGTGGTGGATGCTCAGAGAGAATTTACATGGCTGGACATCCTTAACAAAAATCTATTACCCGAAAACGCGAAAATCCTTGCATAGTTCCTGGTGTGAACAGTAACTTGCTACAAACCCAAATGTTATAGATGATGAATCAGCAATGTCGACTCACCTGATGATATAGAACTCCCAATAGCTCATAAGGAATCTCCACACCCATCGGAACCTACAGATAATTTCACGGAATAGCAATGCATGTCATTTCAAGTGATAAAGAGTAAAGACATTAACACATGAAAGAAAACCTTTTCTACTCGAGTTTAAAGCTTCAACAGACAGAATTGAGTCCGATTCAAAACAGAAAAACGGAGATAAAGTCAGAATCTGCCAAAGGAAATTATATTATACTTTAGATTTCACCAGACAAGTCGGGGCATTCTTTAAGCACTCTGATGCCACTCCACCGTATGCTCTCACCAGCCCTCCGGTACCTAGCTTAATACCTCCAAAGTGCCTAAATTAAAAGCATTAACAATCATGAGAATTCGCATTACACTCAGCCAAGCAGAGACAACTCAGGCTGCGATAGGGAAGAATCTACTGTAAGTGCATCAAATGTTATATGATATCAACACTGAGATGTAAACAAACTTGGGATAGGAAGTTTCTTCCGATATAAACACCCCTCTTCCCAAATATTCTTTACCTTATAACTACAACCATCACTCTATCGATCCCCGAAGATTCAATCGCAGAGTAAATAGGTTTTCCAGCAGTACCCGACGGTTCTCCGTCGTCATTAGACCGAAATTGATCTCCCACCTGCCCTCCAATTGACAAAATGAGCTACATTTAGGCACAAAACCGCGAAGAATATGAAATTAAGCGATTACGCAGCCGATGAACAAAGCAACTATCACTAGCATTGAATATATACAAACCGAAAGCTGAAGCAAATGAAATTTCACATAGAACACACCTTATAAGCCCAACAATTATGAGTCGCCCGCGGATCCCTAACCTAGAAGCCAGAAGAAAAAACCAAAGAATCGGTCAGTCTCGATTGAAATCGCCCTTCGCGAAAACGCATAAACCCTGGAAGATTTTGCACAATTTCGAACAGACATGATTCCAGCAAGCTTCACATCAATTCAATCAGGAAACCTTAGCACGTCCACACAGAAGATTTGCACAATCGAGATGCGAGAAACCCTAAAAATGCGCAGAGCGCGGGCGAAGAATTCTCGAGTGGGCTGGAACCTGGGAGAGAAACGAGAAGGCGGACTGCTCGTCGGAGACGGGGCCGGCGATCGCGATGAATTTGCTCTTCTTGGTCTCTCTCTCCAACGCGACTCTCTCCCTGATCGTCGTGTAAGCACCGCCGCGGCGGCCGGTGCTGCCGCCGGCGGTGCCCGCGGAGGGAGCGGCGGCGGCGGCCGCCATGGCCATCGATCGGCGGGGCCCGACGGCGGCGGCGAAGAGCTGAGAGGGAGAGATGCGGCGGCACACGAGGTGGTGGAAGTCGTGGTGGTGGTGGTGGTTGTAGCCGTTGATGCGCATCGTTTGTGCCACTTCTCCCCGTGACGGGCGTGTCGTTTTTGACAATCCCTCTTACATAAATCGAAGTCTTCTTTTTTTGGCGATTTTTTTCCCTTTTTTTGTTTTTTGCAAATAAAATTCTCTGTCTAATTTAAAAACTTTCGACTTGCATATATTTTCTAATGAAGTCCTTCCGACACTAATTCCGATCAATTTGGGCCGAAGCAGCCGTCAGATCACAATGGGATACGACACGAGGCAAAAGAAATTGCCTCCACGGGCAAGTCACAGTGAAAATTAACCTGAACTTTTTGCCTCTATGGATGAGAGATATGAAAATCATGCCACTGCGAAGAAGTCGCCTGTGGAAAAAAACCATACCGGGCTTCGGCATGGTCTATTGGCCATGTCATCTTGAATTGATCAGGATTGGCGTTAGAATGACATGATTAGAAAAATTGTGTAAGGTTTAAGGGCCTGATTAGACAATTTAATTTTCAATGATTTAATTAGAAAGAGCACGCAACTTGTGAGATGGCAAGAAGCATTTTATCCTTTTCTATAGTCTCGCTTCTTGGGACAATCACTTGAAAAATTACTATTACAACCTTGACAATGAAAATTCCGTTTGGTCACTATAGTCACTTGCAAAAAATACTACTTTCACATGGCAATCAAAGACATCTGTACACACTAAGTAACCGATTGGTATCAGTAACTTTAGCCGTCAAATCGGGTGCTGCAATTTTTATAAGGTGTTTATCAAACAACTTAGAGCTGTGGCAGCTCCGCAACTACAACGAGTTATTATTACTTTTGAAAACTGTCTCATCCAACTTTTAGGTGATACACCTCCATGGTACTTCGAGGAATAGCCACGTCACATCACAACGTCGAATTAGCCACAACCATCATATTTATAATCCGGTTATAGGCCTCGTATGTTTCGCGAAAAATACATTATCTGAAAAATAGTTTTCTAAAAATAATCGCTTGTATTTCTTGAAATAATTTTTCGGTGAAAAATGATTAATCATTGATATCAATTTATGTTTAAATATTTTCGTGGACGATGGAGATTTTTTTTCATTCGTCAAACAAAAGGCACCCATGGACACAAAATAGAACCTGATACAGAACAGGTTCCTTTTATCAATCTGGCCCCAAAATGTAAAGGGTGAAATGACTAAGTGATAGATCACCAAATGAATGCTATTGAGGGGAAGAGATTATGCACAGCATTTTGGGCACAAAACATTGGGAAAAATTCAAGCAGCTTTCAAAGATCATTTCTATTGAGCAAAGATGGGGTTTCACTGCATTTTGCTTGTCTTTCCATGTAATCCTGGAAACAACTTCCTATGAATCCTAATCTACATTGGCAACATAGTCGGCGCGATTAAAACATATAAGGTTTCTCGGTTGGAAACTTATTTTCGTAGCGTACATCCTCTAAATTCGTAGCCGGTTTATAATGTATCTCAAAGCTAGATGCAAAAGGGACATCGTGTGATTGCAACGACGCGTGACACTTAAGATCCTATAGTACCACTTATATATGCAAATTGTTAAGAGATGAGCTCTTACATGCCTTGCCCTTCAAGCTTTCAAATGAGGTTTGTTATTTCATCTCCTTATCTAGTTGCGATAGAAATAATTGATTCATGGAGTGGCAAGGTTCCGGATCCTCTCGATGAAATTGTTGAAAATCTCTAGGCTTTGGTCATCTGCACAAGGGACGGAACGAGAAAAAAGCTCAGAAACGACATATATCTACAGACAAAGAAATATACAGGGGTTCTTAATTAAGAACACGGCGTTCCTATCTCCCTGCAGCATACGAGAGATTATTCCTAAAAAGAAATTATGAATAGAGCGGATTCTCGCCATTCGCTTTTTCCAAATCTATTAATGAAAGTGAAAGTATGAACAGAAGAGGAATTAAAACCATGAGAAAAGAGAGACTATACTAACCGAGCCTGGGGATTGTGTGGCCCTTTGGGTGATGGATGACCATGGGATCCACAAACGAATCGAGGAGAGCAATCGACTCTGGCTTCAGGAAATCATGCTCACCTAACAACACAATAATCACTTCTTAGATATGTTAATTAATGAGGTCATGTTCTTCCAATTTTCATCATAGACCTTGATTATGGTCCCTAAGCTTGATTATGGTCTGCATTCATTTCACAGGACTGGATCAACAGCATTCTGCATGGAGCTGCAACTAAACTCACTTAGACCTTTAGGTATAGGACGGCAGAGAAATCATCACTGATCCTACCTTTTGAAAGCTCGAATTTAGCCTAACGATGTCATGTGTCGGTTGTAACACCTAACTATAACTAACTACCGTTGTTGGATGTCGTCGGACCAGGCTTTGAAGCTGGTAGCGTCAATCGTGATTTTGATCGTAATAGAATTGATGAGAGCTAAGTTTGGGTAGTTACCAAACACATGAAGAGAAGGGCACTTGAGAGGAGCCGAAAACGCGTTAGCTGCCGGCGGGGGCGCACTGAATCTCGACCCGCCGAGCTTAGCCCCAGACATTAGAATCAGAAACTTGATTTTGGGCACCTTGGTCAGTACCAATCCCTGCAAAATTCACCATTTGTTAACTGTGAGAACTCAATCAGAAGCTGTATTGCTTCACATTGGTTTCTTCAAGAATGTGTACCTCCGCCTGCATTCCTACCAATGCAGCAGCTAGAATAGCCCCCTTGTAATCAAAACGCAATAATCTCATAAACATGACGATAGAGTTTTCGTGTGTTCGTTTCTTGTTCTTTTTTTTTTTTTTTTTTTTTTTTTTGATAACCCAGGAAACCCCCGCACGGCCGACAGCCGGGAGGTAAACCCTGGAGGCGACACGTGCTAGCCACCACACACGTGCATCGGTTAAGTCACCCTACGGCGCCCGGGATTCGAACACCCAACCTTTTGCGAGAAGAAGAGTGCCCTTTCCGGCAGCGCCACCCAGGAGAGTGCCCTTTCTTGTTCTTTTTGTGGCCCCAAAGCCTCAAACTTAAGTACTTGAAAACCCAAAAGAAGAAGAAGAAGAAGATGCTCCGTTATCTTTTTGTTGGACCGGAGTCACCTGGGAGAAACCCAGAAAACCATCAAAGGGACCGTTCTTCACCATGAAATCTTCGATGAAGGAGATGCACTCTTCAAAGTGCTCGTACTCTGTGAAATCCTGAATCAGGACACGATGAAGTATCAGATCAAACAATTTCCCTTTTTTCTGGTAAGAACCCGTTTGCTGTAACCATAGCTGCGCTGTGCTACAATCACGTCGTGACATTTCGTAGCACCGTGTGTGGGGTTTTCACATTTATAACCCGTTTTCAAGGTGTCATAGTTCAGGTCGCAACAATATAGTACAGTTATAATTACACCAAACGGGTTCCAAATGAAACTAGAAATTTGACCTGATTGGCTTGGAACCACTCGAAGTAGGGAGGATCGAAGATGCCCTCCACGCTAGACTTGCCCCTGGACGGGTACTGGCCGTCAAGGAACACCAGATCCAGCTTCTCCAGGACAGATTCGGGCCATCTATGGATCTGGGTCTCGAGGATTTTAGCGCTCGTTCTGAACCCGTGGAGGCACAGAATCCTGGGCTTCGCGTGGGCTCGGCCTTCGACCATGGCTTTCGCTGTCTCTACCATCCTGTGAATGAACTATAGAGCAGGAATTGGAGAGGAGTCTCAACTTAAAGGTTTTTGAGTCCTCTCCCCACCAACCACACCCACCAATAAACCTCGAGTCAGGACCCTAGTGCTATTGACCGACCGGTCGGTTTCCTTTTGTGATTCTCTCTTGCAACTTACCACTTGACCTTTCATTATTTTATTTTTTCAAAAGAAAATTGCATTCATTACTCAAAATGATATACAAGAAGTTCATAAATTTTAAGAGTACAAGATATCGAATCCTCGTAAGTATTATTAAACTCCTAGATCTAAATCGGGAGAGAATAGCTCCTAGATCTAAAATTAAATCAAGAGAGATCAAACTCTCAAATCTAGAACTAGACCGGGAGAAAAGAGCTCCCAAATTTAGATCGGGAGAGAAGAAAAATAAAAAAAAGAATAAGAAAACTCAAACAAAATTAACAAGAGAGGGAGGGGAAGGTGATACTAGCTCAAACTCTCCCCCATGGGTGAAGGTTGAAGAAGACTATGGAGAGAGAAGAGAGAGGGAGAGAAAAAGACTTTTCAGTTGCTTGCCCGAGGACCCTTCATTATCCTACCAGGCATACTTGTGTGATATGAATTGAGGCCGAGCCTATGAACCCGTTTTAAAGATAATATCGTCTGTGCATCTATATGACCATATAGATTCGATGGATATCTGTAGACGCAAAGTTTCCTATAACTGTGCTATGAAGTGTCGTAACCTCGGTGTTTAGCTTAAAATAATTGGGGGCAGTTTCCTAAAAGCTGCCATTCAATGTTGCAACCGTGAATGTGCTCCACTTTTAAGGTATCCGCCGAATACTTCGTAGAAGTTGTGGCATCCTTTTTCATAATTGAAACTATTCGGGAAAGTTGTACCGGACAGTCTCCTAGATTGTGATGCTCTCAGGTGAATATTACACGGTAATTGCTTTTAGAGAGGGAATATCCATGACAATTTAAATATTGTAACCAAGGTTTTCCAATTTATATGGCAAGCAGGCCCATCTAATAATTGGAAAATGTACACGAGAAATTTCGATTTTTTGTTTCCCAAATACAAAGAATATAATTTACTTACATATTTGTACGTGTGTTTCGGTGTGCCGGCAAAGATTGTTTCCAATAATATGGTGATGATTTTGCATGTGATAGTATTATTTTCGTGTAGAACTTTATTGAACCACGTGTTAGGTCAACCGGACAAGGCAATCTACCCCATCATTAGAGGTGTGCCAGGTAAGATGGCTGGCAATGACTGAATCACCACGTCAATTATTTCAGGCAAAAATTAATCGGAATGATTTTATTGAAATTTCGGCAAAGGTTTATAACTAAATTGCAAAATTAAAAAGTTTAGGTTTATGTTCGTAGCATGCATTCTTTGGATTTATAACCAGTTTATGTGATCTTGCCAGCGCCCTATTTTCCGATGGATCATTTAGCAATGCGTTGTGCCTTTAGCGGTACTAAATTTTGGGGAAATTACAAGTTACCTCATCCTTGGGAGATTTTTTTGCCTATAGAAGGAGGTACAACACAAATATGCAAATTGTTCAGAGATGAACTTTCCATGCCTTACCCTTCAAGCTCTCTAGAGGCTAAAAAAAGAGAGTGAAATCACGAACGAGAATTGTTGTAATCTACTTAGCTAGTTTCGATAAAGAATGACTCATGTAGTAGGGAGATTCCGGATCTTCTCAATGAAATTGTTGACAATCTCGAGGCTTTGATCATCTGCGTAGGGGAAGAAACAAAAAGAAAACTCAGAGTCAACACGAATCCGTAGAAAGTGAAACATTTAGGCTGCATTTGGTCGACCGGATAAAAGCCATGATAGGATATGTTTTATTATATCCTGTGTTTGGTGGTAGTCCAGTATAGGATAACGTCGGATATAGATCGGATATAGCCCGGATAAAAAAATCCGAGGGGGTGGGATAGACCCGGATAGGATTTCTAATGCCTACTTTTCCAGAAATCCTACGCTCCACTCGCCGTCATCTTCATCCCCACACCGTGTGCGCTTTCACCAAAAAAATTTCTCGGCTTTTTTTCCTTCACCGACTCCTCCGGACCCGTGAATAGCAAAAAAAAAAAATTATCCTATCCGACTTTAAATCCGTAGTCCACCAAACAGTGGATAGGATATGAAGAAATCCTGGGATTTCTTATCTTATCCTATTCAGTCCTATCCTGTTTAGAAATCCGAACAACCAAACGCAGTTTAGGGATTCTCAGAGCACGACGTTCCTATCCCCCAATACACGGGAGATTGATCTCGACAAAATTATGATCGAGTGGATCTTCACCATCTGTTTTGTATGTTCTATTAAATTGATAAAAGCGAAATTAAGAACAAAAGAGGAAATGGAACATCGAGAGAAGAGTGAAATGTATCGATCGGTAGAGACACTGACCGAGTCTGGGGATTGTGTGGCCCTTCGGGTGATGGATGACGATCGGATCCACAAATGAATCGAGCAGAGCGATCGACTCCGGCTTCTGGAAATCGTTCTCACCTAACAACGCAGTAATCACTTCTTAGTTTATCAGTTAATGAGGCCATGATGCGTACCCACTTAATCTATAATCACTTTCTCGGTGGGCTAGTTGACCTTGCCAGCGTTTGAAGAAGCTTGGTTATTACATCATGTGGATCTTCTTGCACATCTTGATGCTGACACTTCTTATTTAGTCCCTAATCTCCGAATTCAAAGTGTAAAAGAAGGATGGATTATATGGTCCAAGTTCTTTTGACAGGAATGGATCGATAGCATTCTACATGAAGCTGCAAGTCTGAACTCATTTAGACCTTTAGGTATAGGACAACACAGAAATCATTACTGATCCTACTTTGAAAGCTGAAATTTAGCCTAACAACGTCGTGCGTTGGCTGCAATGGCTAATTATAGCTAACTAACTCGTCGTTGGGCATGGTTGGACTAGACTTTGAAAGTTGTAGCATGTTAATCGTGATTTGATCGTAATAGAATCGAAGAGAGCTAAGTTCACGTAGTTACCTATAACATGAAGTGAAGGGCACTTGACAGGAGGGGAAAAAGCGTTAGCTGCCAGTGGAGGCGCGCTGAATTTCGATCCGCCGAGCTTAGCCCCGGAAATTAGAATCAGAAACTGGATTTTGGGCACCTTGGTGAGTACCAATCCCTGCAAATTTCAGCATTTTGTTGATTGCAGCAACTCAATCAATAAGTCCTGTTACTTCACATTTTTTTTTAAATTGTGCTTTTACATGGATTTTTGTATCAAATTCATAGACCAAGCAAGATAGAAAACGGTTACCTCTCCCTGCATTCCTGGCAATGCTGCAGCGAGAATAGCTCCCTGGTAATCAAAACATGAAAATCTCATGAACATGACGATGAAGTTGTCATTTGTTCGTCTCTTTTCTTTTCTTCTTGTGGCCCCAAAACCTCCAAAATTAAGAATTTGAACGACCCCCACAATAGAAAAGATGTTGCTTTGTCTTTTCATTTGACCAGACTCACCTGGGAAAATCCCAGTAAACCATCAAATGGACCGTTCTTCACCATGAAATCTTCAATGAAAGCGATGCACTCTTCAAAGTTCTCGTACTCTGTAAAATCCTGAACCCCAACACTCTGAATTATCAGCTCAATGAATTTCCCTTTGTTCTGCTTAGAACCCGTTTCGTGTAGCTATAGCTGCACCGTGCTACAATCGTGTGGTGACATTTCGTAGCACTGTGTGTGCGCCTCACCCCATTTCAAGGTGACATAGTTTTCAAAGATCCGGGTCGCAATGATGTTGGTACAGTTATAGCTCCACCAAATGGAGTTCAAATATAACTGGAAATCTGACCTGATTGGCTTGGAACCACTCGAAGTAGGGAGGATCGAAGATGCCCTCCACGCCGGACCTGCCCGTGGACGGGTACGGGGCATCGAGGTACACCAGATCCAGCTTCTCCAGGACGGATTCAGGCCATTTATGGATCTGCGTCTCGAGGATCTTAGCGCTGGTTCTGAACCCGTGGAGGCACAGGATCCTGGGCTTCTCACGGGCTCGGCTTTCGGTCATCGCTTTCGCTTGCTCTGCTATCCTGGGAATGAACCGGAGCAGGAATTGGAGAGGAGTCTCAACGGCGAAGTTAATCCTCTGGTTTTCGGCCAGTTCTCTCTATAGTCCATGTGATATAATCTGTTCAAAGCCTAACTTGGATTGATGACCCGTTCGCTCCGGCTCTTAAAGAATCCCCACCAACCCCACCCACCAATAAATCTCCAGTTTGGACCCTAGTGCTATTGATCAACCGACCGCTTTAACTTGTGCTTCTCTGTCTCAACTCGCAATTTGACCCTTCATTATCTTTACCAATTGAAAATTGTGTGATGTTGATTCAGGCCGGGCATATCGAACCATTTAAAGATTATGTCCGAAGAGTTTGCTTTTAACATAAAACTAGCGTAGAACTCGGGCGTCGCATGCGTGGAGCAGAGCGGGCATCTTCAATTGAAGTCCCATCAGAACATGAAATGAAAGTCTGAAACAAAACGAATATTAGCCAATTGTGTTACCACGGATAGCTATGTTCATGCTAAAGATAGTAGTAGATTTTTTTCGGAGCAGATTCGTTAAGAAGAAGTGAAAATCTCTGTTGAGAATCACTATCATCATCGTAGCTGAGTTGAAAGAAAGCGTGACTCATGCAGCAGCCAAATTCTGGATCTTCTCGATGAAATTCTGCGCAATCTCTAGGCTCTGATTATCTGCGCGAAGGGTCGAACATAAAAGAGAACTAAGCTCTAGCTTAGATGGATTGAAACAACGAGAAAACGAGACCTAGACAATTAGTAGGGCACAAACCAAGGTTGGGGACTGTGTGGCCCTCCGGATGATGAATGACTAGCGGATCCACAAATAAATCAAGCAGAGCAATTCCCTCCGTCTTCTGGAAATCGGTTTCACCTACACCATTATAATGACATCTGCATAAATAGTGTTGGGTATATTCTTCAAAGGATGTCATGTGTATATGCTTAAAGTCCGTTTGGTATAATCTTCATAATACCTTTTTCATCAGAGTAATGTACGAAAAAGATGCTTCTTCCGCACAACGTGCAAGTATACGACCAATTTCGGTAAAATGAAGTGAAAATGTTGGTTCACAACCTCCTTTAGAACAATTACCTTTTTCATTGGAGTAATGTACGTAAAAGATGCTTCTGCACAACGTGCGAGTATACGACCAATTTCGGTAAAATGAAGTGAAATGTTGGTTCACAACCTCCTTTAGAACAATTGGCTTTGAGCGGAATGGATAATTTTCCCGTGGAATTCTTAAGAGGGAGAAGATAACTTACGGTGCAAGACTCCTTCAACATCGTGTCATGCAAGGACACTAATGTGGCAGCTGCAGAGAACACAAGGCCTATGATTCTATTGTAGCTAATCTCATGTGAGACCTTTAGCCATGTAATAGTAGGAACATTATCCACCATCTCACTTCCAATAGCCGAATTTAGCCCATCCCTCACCTTTTCAGTAGACATGTCAAACTGGTGGGTCGGGTCGGATTTGGGTTGGGTCATAAATGGTCCAACCTAAATTTACCCATTAATTCGTTTATGACCCATCTATTTATAATATAAATCTATTGACCCATAGATTTTTTTTTTTTTAGATGACCTGACCTATATTGTTAAAATATTTTCATATTTAACGCAATGTAGGAAATTCATATCCAAATTGAAGTAAGAGCGCGGAGTGAGTGAGTGAGAGCGAGAGAGAATGAAAATAAAGTCATAGAGATGGGTCGGGTATAAGTAAATTATAAACCCATTTATGACATAGTTATGACTTACTGAACACTCATATTATGTTTAAACCCATTTACCTAATGTAATTAATCAATATAATAACTCATCCCATTATTTATGGATTTATACTTTCACAGAGAAGTATAGCATGGATCTTAATAGAATCCAAGAAAGCTAAAGTTTAGGTAGTTACCGATAACATGAAGAGACGGGCACTCGATAGGAGTGGAAAATGCGTTAGTGGCCAGCCTAGGCGCACTGTATTTTGATCCACCCAACTTAGCCCCAGAAACTAGAATCACAAACTTAATTTTGGGCACCATTGTGAGTACCAATCCCTGCAAATTTCTGCATTTCTTAAATTCATCAACTTGACAAAGAAATTATTTGCTTCTGTTCCATTTTGTGTCGATTTCGACGTCGGTTTCAAATTCATGGAACTAGAATATGTCTTACCTTCCCCTGCATTCCTGGCAATGCAGCAGACAGAGCTGCCCCCTGGTACCAAAATCACTGATCAACACAAAAAAATGAAGAATATTTGAACAACCGAAATGGAAATGCTGCTTTGTCCTTTCATTTGGCTGGACTCACCTGGGAAAAACCCAGTAAACCATCAAAGGGACCGTTCTTCACCATGAAATCTTCAATGAAGGCGATGCACTCTTCGAAGTTCTCGTACTCTGTAAAATCCTGAATCAGAATGCGAATCATCAGTTCGAAGAACTTCCCTCTATCTGCCAAGAACCCGTTTGGTCTGGCTATAGCTGCACCATGCTACAATCTTGTCCTGACATTTTATAGCACTGTATGTGGGGTTTTCAAATTCATAACTGGTGTACACTTTATGCTGCCTCACCCAATTTCAAGGTGTTAATGTTTTCCGAAGATCACGTCGCAACGTTATAGTAGAGTTATAGTCACACAAATGGAGTCCTAATGAAACTCGAAATCTGACCTGATTGCCCTGGAACCACTCGAAGTAGGGAGGATCGAAGATGCCCTCCACGCCAGACTTGCCTCTGGACGGGTAAGGGGCGTCGAGGAACACCAGGTCCAGCTTCTCCAGGACGGATTCGGGCCACTGATGGATCTGCGTCTCGAGGATCTTAGCGCTCATCCTGAAACCGTGGAGGCACAAGATCCTGGGCTTCTTGCGGGCTCGGCTTTCGGCCATCGCTTTGGCTTTCTCTACTATCTTGGGAGGGAAATACAGCAGGAATTTAAAAGGAGTCTCAGCTAAAAGTGCACTCTTCTGGTTATTGGCTAATTCTCTCTATAGGACCTTTGACATAATTTGTTCATAGCTTAACTTGTATTCATGACCATTCACTCCGGCCGTTCATAATCTCCACCAAACACACCAACCAGTAAACCTCGAGCTTGGAATCTAGTGCTATTGACCAACTGGTAGCTAGGTTTAACACGTGCTTCTCTGTTCTAACTTACCACTTGACCCTTCATTATCTTATCAAATGAAACTTGTGTGATATTATTTAGGCGGGCCGAATCGAACTCATTGAAAGATTATGTCCTCCGCGCACGGATTGTCATATAAGGGCCCAAAACCCAACCCATGTTCTTAAGCCCAGCCCATTATCCTCCTTCATTTATAGAATCGGGCGTTTGAAACATGAAGAAGTATTTGTGACCAAAAAAAAAAACATGAAGAAGTAAAAGAAGATGTGAAGCGGCGGAATAAACGAAGAAAGAAGAAGACAGGCGACCGTGAAGAAGAAAAGAGGGAAAGAAGAGAGGAGAGAAAAATTTGCGCGTAGCCGTTCCGGACGTTACGGCAAGCCGAATCAACTATAAAATGTAACGCATGGTAAGTATTCGAGCCTATTGTTCGTGTAATCAGAGTAATTTTCTGAATTAGGCCATTGATTTGGAGTTACATTGAAAGCCGCGAATACGGCATCCAAGATCTTCATAACTAAAATCTAGAACACAGTAATTGAGAAAAAAATGATTTACGCATTTGATTTGGAATTCATCGTTCTTGATGTTGAATAACAACGATTCTCAGCGCAAGTGCTTCTCCTTTATTACCCTCTGTATGAGGTATTAAGCTTTAGATTTATATGGAAATGGTAAATAAGAGTGTTGCGATCGATTCTGAAGTACAGTTTGATCGAAATGAAATTCTACAGTTTCGCGTTTGCATTATGCGGAGCAGACAATACATGTAATAGAGAAATATGAACGTTTGCTATAAACAAGTTTCTTCGTTAGTGCATAGGTGATGTTTTATCGACGAATAAGCGTAGTTTAGTTGCATCGTTCATTAGAGTAGCGTATTACTCGATTTTTTATATCGTTTTTCGATTAATTGATAGGATTATGAGTGCGTCGGCTCGAGCCACCGTCGCAAGTTGATTTTCGACTTTCCCAAGTGAGTGGTGCTATCTCTTATTCGAGTTTGTTATCTTATGTTTCGAAAGTGATATATAATGAGTTATGAAATAGCATTTTTATTGCATAAAATCTAAATTGAGCATTTACTGCTCTTCTATTATTTGAGAATGGTTTGAGAGACAATGTTCTGGGAGGCATTGTGAAAGTTTATATATATGTATTTCATTGTAAATTACTTTATGGAATGAGTTCAAAAATTATTTAGCAAGTTTTATGAAAAAGTTACGAAATGTTCTATATATTGATTAGTGAATTTGATTTATGAAAAATTCCCAAATGGTTTGAGAAATGCTTTGTGAAAGGTTGATAAACAAGGTTGCGAAAGATCATGTGTCTTGTTTGGTGAAGTCAATTGGTGATATCGATTTTGGATTTGATCTTGGTATTAGAGGATGTGGGTTTGGTACTCAATATCATTGTAAACCTGGCTGAGGGTTTGTGGGTATGTGCATACTAGTATTAGGATATCCTTGTTGGCCAGCCAGACCTAGCCAAGGAGAGCATCTTGGTCACATTGTCACGAGATATTATGCGTGATCATGATTAGATATTTGAGCACGAGTTTGGTCAATGGAGTAGACCATTGACATGTAATTTGAGTTTGATCAATTGAATGGACCATTAACATATGATTTGATATTAGTAAACGAAATAGACCATTGATGTGTGATTTGGTGAGATTAATCAATGGAACAAACTATTGATATGTGAGTTGTTGAGATTAATCAATGGACTGGACCATTGATATTTTATTTTAATATTATCGAGGAAATAAGTTTTTAGTATTTTACTATTCACATGATCGCGTATTTCGTTGTTCATTTTGACCATATGTGTACGAATTTATGTTGAAAGGAAATAACTTATATTTGAAGTTGTATGTATATCATCAACCGGATTTGGGATTATTGAGTTTCGTTATGGTTTTGTAAATATGCATAGAAGAGATGCACTACTCATTGAGCTATGATTGTTCACTCTATTCCTTTCAATCTTTTCAGGTTCCTCAGTTAGCGGCCGATAGTACGAAAACGCTTTCCACGGTGACTTTTGGGAGTTGATTTTTGGGTATGTGGTTTAAGGCTGCATCCTTCGGGAGGACAAAAGGCCGTGTCATTATCCCTATCCCTATAGGATTTGGGGTGCGACACGGATATAACCAAATAAATTCTACTTATACCAGAAAAGTTCGATTTTAACATACGACTAGCCGTAAAACTCGCGCTTCGCATGCGTTTGGTCGGAGGAGCCACTTTTGATTGAAGTCTCATCAGGCCATGAAATGAAAATCAAAGAAAAAGAAGAATATCATCCAATTGTGTAAGTTTGAGTAATTATCATTTGTGCTAAAAAATATAAAATGGCAAATCAAATTCTCAGACGATAATTATTATTATCTTCGTAGCTAGTTGCAAGAAAGCGCGATTCATGTAGTGACCAGATTCAGGATCTTCTTCGACGAAACTGTGCACAATTTCCAGGCTCCGATCAAATGCGCGAGGGATCGAACAGAAGAGAAAGCTAAGCACCGAACTGTATTGACTTAGAGACGCTTAATCACGTTGTTGTTTGGATCTTTTATAATTAATCAATTTCTCACTTTATATATAGGTTTATGACAGTAATATATTGATATTCGATTGTGGTTTATGATTAAATATCTTATTCATTTAAAAAGACTAAATGCTTCATAAACTAAGTACGATTGAGATACTTATAAAACAAATGCCAATTACATGTTTTTTTTTTTCAATAAAATCTTCATAGTAGCTTTCTCACCAAATGAGCGAGTGTACGACTAAATTTCAATAAATGAAGTGAAAATGTTGGCTCATATGCTCCTTTACAACAATCTGACTTGGAGTTGAATTTGAAGAGGGAGAAGATAACTAATGGTCTGAAGCTCCAACTACAACATGTAATGGTAGGAATCATATCCACAATCCCACTTCCAATATAATGTCACGTTGGAAAGATATCCCTCCCCTTTTCGGTCGTATCGTGGTTGAGCGCAATCGGGATAGATTTTCCCGAAAATATAGCGATGAAGTTAAAAGAATCGACGAGAGCTGATGTTTAGGTGGTTACCTATAACATGAAGAGAAGAACACTTAATAGGAGCCGAAAACGCGTTAGCAGCCAGCCTAGGCACACTGTATTTTGATCCGCCAAACTTAGCACCGGAAATTATAATCACAAGCTTGATTTTGGGAACCTTGGTGAGTACCGATCCCTGCAAATTTCAGCATTTGTCAATTGCAAAACCCAGTAAGCCATCAAAAGGGTCGTTCTGCACCATGGAATCTGCAATGGAGGCGATGCACTCTTCAAAGGTCTTGTACTCTGTATAATCCAGAAGCAGGACACGCCCATTATCAGCTCCAAGTGTTTTCCTTTCTTCTGTTCTGTTTTCTCTAATTTTTTTGGTGTAGCTATAGCTTTGCTGTATTTCAGTCGTGCCTAGACCTGATCAATGGGCAAATCGAACCTATTACCAGGACGAAAAATAGTTGCCCAGGCGTCGTGTGATCGGAAAAATATTTAATTTATCAACATATCTTAATGTTGGTTCATAAGCTCCTTTAGAACAATTGGCTCTCATTTGGGCCGATCCGGCCCTCGTGGACTTGGGAAGGCCTGCCGCCGCCGCCGGGCCTATTATCTCCTCCGTGATCGGATGTCTCCTGGCACCTGGTGGAGAAAGGGGGAATCCTAGGACGGCTAGAGATGCTATCTTTTGAAAAACATGTTGGCACAACACGACATAGATAGACTAATCGGACCTAGAAAAAAACCTCGGAACACGCCCATGGACCTGATGGACTTGGAACCGGAACCACCTCGAAGTAGGGAGGGTCGAAGATGCCCTCCACGCTGAACTTGCCGGCGGAAGGGCACGGGGCATCAAGGAACGCCAGGTCCAGCTTCTCCAGGACGGATTCGGGCCACTCGCAGATCTGCGGTCTCGAGGATTTCAGAGCTCATTCAGAACCCGCGAAGGCGCAAAATCCTGGGCTTTCCACGACCTTGTTCACGACCTGTCCTCATTAGTCTCTTGAGGATCCACTCCAACGCCTACCATGTAGTTTAGATTCTGATGCAACTGACCAACCGGATCAACGAAGAGTAGTCATTCTATGTAATTGGGGGATAGCTCCGTGACAGTACAATTGAATCGTAAAACTTTTAAAAAGTGCAATCAAGTCCTAAAACTTATCGTGAAAATGCAATCGAGTTCTAAGACTTTCAAAAATGGCAATCAAGTCGAAAAACTTGTCACGAAAGTGCAATCGAGTCCTCAAAATTTTGATTAGTGTAATCAACGGAAGGACTTGATTAGATCAATTTGACAAGTTTTAGAATTTGAATGCAATTTTTAAAAGTTTTAGAACTCAATTACACTTTCGTGACAGGTTTTATGACTTAACCGAACATTTTGAAAGTTTTAGGACTTCATTGCTCTTTGACGATAAATTTTAGAATTTTCAATATATTTATCTTTAACATGCAACTGCCGTAGAACTTGCGCTTCGCATGCGTGGAACAGAGCGGGCATCTTCAATTGAAGTCTCATCAGAACATGAAATGAAAGTCGGAAACAAAACGTATGTTAACCAATTGTGTTACCACGAATAGCTATGTTCGTGTTAAAGATAGAGGTATATTGCATTCGGAGCAGATTCGTTAAGACGAAGTGAAAATCTCCTACGAGAATCGTTATCATCTTCATAGCTGAGTTGAAGAAGCGCGACTCATGCGGTAGCCAGATTTTGGATCTTCTCAATGAAATTGTGCACAATCTCTAGGCTCTGATCATCTGCGCAAGGGGTCGAACAGAAAAGAGCTCCAGCTTAGATGAATTGAAACAACGAGAATACGAGACTTGGATAATTAGCAGGGGCACAAACCAAGGTTGGGGACTGTGTGGCCCTCCGGGTGATGAATGACCAGGGGATCTACAAATGAATCAAGCAGAGCAATTCCCTCTGTCTTCACTATATCGGTCTCGCCTACACCAAAATAATGACCTCTGTATAAATAATTTTGGGTATATTCAAAGGATATCATGTGTATACGCATAGAATCCGTTTGGTATAATCTTCATAGGACCTTTTTCATCGGAGTAATGTACGAAAAAGATGCTTCTTCCGCACAACGTGCGAGTACACATGACTAATTTTCAATAAAATGGAGTGAAAATGTTGGTTCATAAGCTCCTTCAGAACAATTGGCTTGATGACTTACTACGGTCCAGGACTCCTTCAACATCGTGTAATGCAAGGACACTAATGTGGGAGCTGCAGAGAACACAAGGCCTATGATTCTATTGTAGCTAATCTCACGTTAGACCTTTAGGCATGTAATAGTAGGAACAGTATCCACCATCCCACTTCCGATAGCCGAACTTAGCCCAGCCCTCGCCTTTCCAGTCGTGTTGTCATAGAGAAGTATAGCACGGATCTTAATCGAATCAAAGAAAGCTGAAGTTTAGGTAGTTACCAATAATATGAAGAGAAGGGCACTCGATAGGAGCTGAAAATGCGTTGGCGGCCAGCCTAGGCGCACTCAATTTTGCTCCGCCCAACTTTGCCCCGCAAACTAGAATCACAAACTTGATTTTGGGCACCTTTGTGAGTACCAATCCCTGCTAATTTCAGCATTTGTTAAATTCATCAACTAAATAAAGAAATTATTTGATTCTGTTCCATTTTATGTGTCGATTTTGAGGTCGGTTTCGAATTCATGGAACTAGAAATATGTCTACCTCCTCCTGCATTCCTGGCAATGCAGCAGACAGAACTGCTCCCTGGTAATCATAATCAAGTACCAAAATCACTCAGCAACACAAAATTAAACTGAAAAAATGAAGAATATTTGAACAAACGAAAGTATGGAGATGCTGCTTTGTCCTTTTATTTGGCTGGACTCACCTGGGAAAAACCCAGTAAACCATCAAAGGGACCGTTCTTCACCATGAAATCTTCGATGAAGGCGATGCACTCTTCAAAGTTCTCGTACTCGGTATAATCCTAAATCAGAACGCTCTGAATCATCAGTTCAAAGAACTTCCCTCTATCTACCAATAACCCGTTTGGTCTACCAAGAACCCGTTTGGTCTAGCCTCTATCTGCCAAGAACCCGTTTGGTCTAGACTATAGCACTGTATGTGGTGTTTTCACATTCATAACTGGTGTACACTTTATGCTGCCTCACCCGATTTCAAGGTGTTAATGTTTTCCGAAGATCACATCACAACATTATAAGAGAGTTATAGTCACACCAGATGGAGTCCAAATAAAACTCGAAATCTGACCTGATTGCCCTGGAACCACTCGAAGTAGGGAGGATCGAAGATGCCCTCCACGCCGGACTTGCCTCTGGACGGGTACGGGGCGTCGAGGAACACTAGATCCAGCTTCTCCAGGACGGATTCAGGCCACTGATGGAACTGCGTCTCGAGGATCTTAGCGCTCATCCTAAAACCGTGGAGGCACAAGATCCTGGGCTTCTTGCAGGCTTGGCTTTCGGCCATCGCTACGGCTTTCTCTGCTACCTTGGGAGTGAAATACAGCAGGAATTTGACAGGAGTCTCAGCTGAAAGTGGACTCTTTTGGTTTTTGGCTAGTTCTCTCTAAAGGCCCGTTGACATAATCCGTTCATATCTTAACTTGTATCATTTGTTAACTTATATTATTCATGACTATTCATTTCGGCCGTTCAAAATCTCCACCAAACACACCAACCAATAAACCTCGAGCTTGGAATCTAGTGCTATTGACCAACTAGTCGGTCTAACACGTGCTTCTCTGTTCTAACTTACCTCTTGACTTTTCATTATCTTACCAAATGAAACTTGTGTGATATTATTTAGGCGGGGCGTATTGAACCCATCGAAAGATTATGTCCTCCGTGCACGGATTGTAATATAAGGGCCCATAACCCAACACATGTTCTTAAGCCCAGCCCATTTTTCTTCTACATTAATAGGATTGTGCGTTGGAAACAGGAGAAAGTGTCAAAAAAACCCAAAACCTTTTGCATTTGTACCAATTAAGTTCTAAACCTTTTTTTGGTGCCAATTGAGTCCTAAACCTTTTGTCTTTGTGCCAATTCAGCCCTTCCGACTAATTTTGGCAGGATTTTGCTGACGTGGACACCGGTCGGCCGGTTATCGGCGCTGATGTAGACAACTTTTAATAATATTTTAATATTTTTTTGAATTTTTAATTCTTTTTTCTTTTCTTTTTCTTTTTTTTTCTCCCCTCCCTTCTTCCTCCAGCAGGTCGTCGATCCGATGAGACCTCGCTGGCCTATGGCTGTCGCGACCTAAAATTCCTCTCAGGCTAATGGATTGTTAAGACTAAGCCTAACTCGCCCTCCCAAGCCCTACCAATTCGCAACTTAGGGTTTAAGTTTTTAACATGCAAAATTTTTTATGCTCGGAGTCGCCACTAATCAATTTATGGTAGGTTGATTAGAAACCCAAATAAAACATAGGGAGATATGTTTTATTCCTACGAACTCAGAGATTCTAAGCTCGGGACTGATTACGCTAGATCTAGTCTAACGCCCTTTCGGTACCTTTTCTTTTCAAAAATGTTTATGCAGGCAAACTGGATCCATTTTAACTTAGTCATTAGCATGTGAGGTGATCATGCGGGTGCGAAACCACCAAAGTAACACCCAATAATCAAAACATTAAATAAATTGCAAGATTGGGAGAATTACTTACCTCGAGCAACGTAAGCATCCGCATTGTTAGCTAGAAAATCGCATCAACAATCCTAATATGATTTCTAATTAACAAGCAGTTCACTCAATATTTTTTAGGATTTTCACTTATTTAAATGAAAGCTAACCTATGTGTAATGACGTGCAAAAATTAACATGCGATTAATGCAGCCTAACATGCAAACTATATGTCATGCGACAACGTGACCTAATTCTAATGACGGACAAATGATTATTTTTGGTATTTACTCAATTTAAATTCGGAATAATAAAAATGCCTAAATTAACATGCAAACTATGATGACTTAATCTACCCTAGCATGATTTCTTTTTATGATTTTTGTTAAAATTCGAAATAATGAATTACTTAAATTAAGAATACAATCTATCCTAATCTATCCTAAAACAATTCATTCTTCTTTTCTTGGGATTTTCATGGAAATTCGAAATAATAAAATAACCTGAATAATCTATTAAGATTAGAATATTACTTAATTTAAACTAGGAAATAAATCATCTCAAGTCCTAATTTAAATTAAATAACTACTCTATCTTCTAGATATATTTAGGATTCCTAGACATGCAAAAACTCTAATTCAAATCTAATTAATATTTTTTGAATTTTCTGTTTATTTGAAAAAGGAAAGCAATTAAATAAACAAGGATAGCAACCACATTCAAAACGTCCACGCGATCCGCCATATTTGTTTCAAACTCGAATTAGGCATACAAATCAAACTATCGGTCATATCTATAGGGTTATAGATATCGACGGAAAGCCGATTATTCAAATTTGGAAAGCGGATAAAAATCATTATCGTACCTAAGTGGTTATGGATAAGTTAATAATTTTCCGTATCGCCGCGTATCGAACATTAGGGATAAGGTCGGATAGTCGTCCAGATACGTTGCTAAATTAGGAAGTTTTCCTAATTTTGAATATTTAAAAATATTGCGGATATATCGAACATTATCCTAAGATATCTAAATATCCACATGATATTCACGAAATATTCAAACACCCATATTAGGAAATTAAATATTCTGAAAATATCGGATAATGTTGAATTACCTAATTTGCAGATAACTTCCAAATTCGAATTGTGGATCGGGATCGGGCTTTGCGGATCGAGATGGCGGTGGTGGCGACGACACGGTGGCTCACGGGCGTCGAAGATGGCGGGGCGATGACCGGCTCAACAAAGACATTGGCGGGGGCTTACAGCGATGCACGAACGGTTCCGGGTGATGTGGTACTCGATCTTGCGCCGGACGAAGTGCTTGCTGTGGCCTCACCGACGTGCACCGCCCGCAGCCTTCGTTGATTGGCCGGACAGGAAGAGTCTTCACTTGGCGAGGAAAGCGGTTGAACGAAGACGTCTTTATGCACTCGCATGGGGAATCTTCAAAACGCAGCTACTTGCTTCGTGGACCAACAGATGGAGAGGAGGCGTTGACAAGCTCCTCGGTTGATCGGAGAAGACGTGGCTGGTGCATGGAGAAGCAGAAAATGGCGAGCAGCCTCTCGGGACAGCTGTTCGGCGAGGCAAAGCAATGACGATGGTCCTTCAACGGCTATAACTTGCGGACGGGGAAGGAGTGATGGTGGCTGACCGGGACGGTGTCGGCGGTCCTCCGACGCGGCGGTGACGCGCGACGGGAGGTACGACCACGGGTGGTGGTGTTGCCGGCCTCCCTTCTCTCCCTTTCTTTCACTCTCGCACTTGAGCTCTCACTCTCGCACTTGAGTTCTCAAAATCAGATCTGAAAATTTTTCTCCCCCCTACTCTTACTCTCGCTCACGTGTGTCTCTCAAAAATCGTGTTCTGAAAATTGTGAGAGCCCCCCAATTATGACGCATAACGACATATTTATATCGCAACCCTAGGTTAATTAACCGGGCTTCCTAGTCCTAATGGGCTTAGACTTAGGCTTTATCATTTAATTTAATTTTAATTCCAGATGGGCTAAATTAATTCGAGGTGATTTAAGCTCAAATTAAAACAACCAAAGCCTTTTAGACTTGTGAATTTTGGCCCCCAATTCCTTGAGCGAGCCGAGTGCTCGAGCTCGGTTTACGCGATGAATTTTCAGCTTTCTCGCCACCGCCGGTCCGATGCGGAATGCAACTAACCTATATGAACTTAAACTATATGCTATGCAATTTAAATATTTTTGTTTAGGGGTTAAAAATTTAATCCCTAATTTTCTATGCAAATTACACTAAATGATACGCCAAAATTTAGGTGTCAACAATGGCGAACCACGTCGGCCATGGGCGAGGCTCACCCTTGCCGGATGGCAGTGAGGGCGGCCTCGCGCTAGGCTGGCAAGGCTCCATTCGTCGCCAGAGGCCAGGACGTCGAAGGCCCCGACCTCGCAGCCTATGGCGAGGGCGAGGGCAATTCAGTGAGGTAGCGAGGCTCGACCTTGCCAGATCTGGCGAGGTCGGGCCTCGCCTAATCGCCGGCAAGGCTCGAGCCCTCACCGGCGATTGAGCGATCCGGCGACTGGCGAGGTCAAGCCTCGCCCACCTCTGGCCTTTGGCCGGTCGCTGGGAAGGGAAGGAAAAAAACAAGAAAAAGAAAAGAAAAGAAAAGAATAAAAAAATATACAAATTCAAATAAATATTATTAAAAGTTGTTCACGTTGGCGTTGGTGACCAGTCGACACCCACGTCAGTAAAATCTGGCAAAAATTAGCCAAAAGGAAATTTTTTGGCACAAAAACAAAAGGTTTAGGACTCAATTGGCACAAAAAAAGGTTTAGAACTTAATTGGCACAAATGCAAAAGGTTTAAGACTTTTTTGACACTTTTCCCAGGAAACATGAAGAAGGAAAAGAAGATGACGTGAAGCAGCGGAATAAACGAAGAAAGAAGAAGACATGTGACCGTGAGGAAGAAATCAAGGAAAGAAGAGAGGAGAGAAAAAATTTTGTGTGTAGCCGTTTCAGACATTCCAACAAGCCGAATCAACTACAAATTATAACTCTTGGTAAGTATTCAAGTATATCATTCGTGTAATCAGAGTAATTTTCGGGATTAGGTCATATATAGATTTGAAGTTACGTGAAATTTGAATTGCGAAGTTCGATTGAGGAGCTATTGAGCTTTAGATTTATATGGAAATAGTAGATAAGTACGTTGTGAATATGTGGGGTTAGACAAAAATCGATTCTGAAGTACGGTTTGATTGGAAGGAATTTATGAAGTCTCTCGTTCGAGTTACGCATAGCGGACAATACTCGTAATAGAGAAAGATACACGTTTGCTATAAACGAGTTTTTTCCGTTAATGTGTAAGTTTCGTTTTATCGATGAATAAGTGTAGTTTAGTAGTGTTGTCCATTAGAGTAGCGTATTACTCGGTTTTTAATATCATTTTTCGATTAATTGATAGGAAAATGAGTGTGTCGGCTCGAGTAACTATCGGAGATTGGTTTTCGGCTTTCCTTAGATAAGTAGTATTATCTCTTCTTTGAGTTTGTGATCTAATGTTTCGAAAGTGATATATAATGAGTTATAAAATAACATTTTTATTGCATAAAAATTTGGATAGGCCAGTTACTGCTCTTCAATTATTTGAGAATGGTTTGAGAAACGTGTTCTGGAAGGTGTTGTAAAAGTTTATATTAAATGAATTTCGTTGTGAACTATTTTATGGAATAAGTTCTAAAATGATTTAGAAACATTTTATGATAAACTTTATATATATATTGATTTGTTAATTTGGTTCATGAATAATTCTGTAATGGTTTGAGAAATGCTTTGTAAAAGATTGATAAACGGAGCTAAGAAATGTTTTGTTTTGTGATATTGATTTTGGATTTGATTAGTGATATTGGAGGATGTGAGTTTGGTAATCAATATCGCTGTGAGCTCGATTTAGGGTTTATGGGTATGCGCATACTAGTGTTAGAATATCATTGTGGGCCAGCCACCGGCAATATAAGTGGGGCCTAGCCATGTCACGGGGCATTATTCATTATCGTGGTTAGATATTTGAGCACGAGTTTAGTCAATGGAGTGGATTATTGACAAGTAATTTGACTTTGGTCAATGGAATTGACTATTGACATATGATTTGAGATTAATCGATAAAATGGATCATCGACATGTGATTTGATGAAATTAATCAATGAAATAGGCTATTGATATATGAGTTGTTGAGATTGATAAATGGATTGACCCATTAATATTTTGCTTTAATATTACTGAGGAAATGAGTATTTCAGTACTTCACTATTTACATGACCGCGTCTTTCGTTGTTCAATTTGACCGTATGTGTACGAATTTAGATCAATACAGTTATTGGACAACAGAGTTACACTATTCGGACCTAGAAAGCCTCGAAACACGCCCACGGACTTGATGGACTTGGAACAGGAAGCACTCGAAGTAGGGAGGGTCAAAGATGCCCTCCAAGCCGGACTCGCCGGCGGAAGGACAAGGGGCGTCGAGGAACGCCGAGTCCAGCTTCTCCAGGACAGATTCGGGCCACTCGCGGATCTGCATCACGAGGGTTTCGATGCTTGTTCGGAACCCGCGAAGGCACAAAATCCTGGGCTTTCCACGGCCTTTGTTCATGACCCATCCTCATCAGTCTCTCGAGTATCCACACCAACGCCTACCATGTGGTTTAGATCCTAATGCTGCTGAGCAACCGGATCAATGAAGAGTGGTCGTTCTATATGATTGGGGGATGGCTACAAGGCACGAATTGGCTCAACACGAGGTCCATTTAGGAAAGGAGAAGTTGCGCGAGTGGGAGGGCTTGGTCTGGCAGGCTGGCATATGAAGGAGGGGTAATTCGACTTGCCCCTGTGTTCTTTTTTAGACGAATCACTGATTGTGTTCGAGATACTGTCTGATTTCATGATTTCATCCTTTTTTCACGTAATAAGCTAGCCTCTTGCGGTTTTAAACTAATGTCAATTCAATTATAAATTGGTCAAATTAAAAAGTTTACAACTGAATTGGCATTCATACAATATGTTTATGACTTCTTTTTTTGTAATTATCCCGGAATTTCGCCTAAACGTTTAGAATTAAATCAGCAAAATTGAAAAGTTTATAACTAAATTGACATTTGTACAATAGGTTTACGACTTGATTGTGTGATTTTCCCTTCTCGAGCATGGTCTTGATAGTATGGCATGTATACTATACAAATTTGGAAACTCCATTTCCTTATAGTAAGCTCAATAGCTTTGTTTTATGCTTCGACACGTACTAAAACTTTTATATCACGCATTGGCGATTACATCTCATGATCTCAAGTGTGCTCGGCAAACAAAATATTACGACGACGAAAAAAAAAACAACAAAATAGTCCACTTGCGATGATTTTAATATAAATCCGACATCCGATTTTATATGAATGTATATATTCACATATACTTGTCTCCAAAAAGCTTTCAGGATTGGCTCATTTCCATCCTCATTTCCTCTAAAACCTAACCTTTATGGAAAAACCCCCAATATTGTTTTTTTGTTTACCCTTAAAAACAAGCTAAAGAGTGACCCTTTTTTTAAAATTTTTTTTTGCCAAAACTTAAAATATTATTCAAATTTTACATACGTAACAAAATTTATTATTGTCACGAAATTTTTTTATGAATTTCCAATTTTAAAAGAAAATTAAGTTGAAGTGCGTAGCTACAAAATTGAAATTAGCCCAAAAAATAAATAAATGTTAATCCAAACTAGCTAGGAGATGATTCTAGGACTCTACACTGTTGTGGTCGTGGGCTCAAAAACGACGATGTCGCCCAATTATTGGCCGATAGCCACCAGCTTAGCGAAACATCATCTTCATTGCATTTGTACAAAGAGGCACTAATCGAGAACAAATTATATATTATCGAGAGTTAGCCTGTCGATTATACACGAAGCGAAGCTAGGATGGTACGGGACAGGGACGGATATATAAATTTCGGACCTGATTGTGATAGGTCGGGCAATAATTCTCGGCCCTTTTGAGTATGTGCCAAGCGAATACAGCCATGTACCCGACATGATTTTCATCTTGATCATGGAACTAAATAAACATTTGATCTTGTTCCAGACCACCAAAGTCGCGGAATCACTTTAGAAAAAGATAAACGTCGGGATAATGGATTCCAGCACAGTGTCGCTGTCACTTATAATGTCCAACTTGGCCAGCTTTTGCCAGCTCTGTTGCTCATTCTTATGTGAATTACTCGATTTTGGACAAACGAAAAGTGCAAATAATTACTTAATAAAATATAGGTTTTTATATACTATGTGTAGGGTAAAAAAAAGAAAAAAAAAGAGAGAGACGATTGCATCCAAGAATAATGCCCAATAACATTCCATATTCTTATTGGAATGATTGGATTTTTTCGCCAGGGAATTATTAGTTGAGATTTATCACTCGACCAATCCGTCAAACGTATGGATCGAGTCGAAAATGGTCCGATTTAAATTGATATTTTTAATTTTTTTGATATATTTCCACTCAATACAAATCTAGTGATCAATACCCAACATATATCCGACCTGATCTATATTACCAAAATACTTTTATATCCGACGGGAGAATGCGGAATGAGCGAGCGCGAAATCGAGTGAGGCGAGAGAGAGCGAAGAGAGTCATAGAAGTGGGTTAAATCTAAATAAATTATAAACCCATTTAACACTCACATTAATTTGGGTTTTACAATTGCAAACTCATTTACAATCAATTTATTGAATATAAATAACTCATATAATAACTCAGTCCATCAAATATATGTTAAAAAATGAGCCCATAAGTCATTTCGACAGATTTACTTATCATTAACAAAAAAACGAAACCAAACTATCGTGATGGGATTGCAGAGATGCGGCGCACCCCATTTCTCACGCACGGCCGCAGCATCGGATTTTGGGGTACGACCAATTTGAATCGACAAATCACTATCTCACCATGGAGACGGTCCAATTCGAAGAGAAGCGACGCGACGTGAAATCGACTTCTAATCTTCCAATTATTAGGTTCTACAACGCTCGATCATCGATGTAACGATCGAAAACTCGAGAGATGCCATCTTCGTTATAAAAAAAAAAATAAGAAGAAGAAGAAGAAGAAAGACTAATAAAACAAAGAATATTTATTAATTGTCGGTCGTACAAGGATGGTGCCGTTCCACCGAATCGCGCCGCGTCAAAATCTTCGCACGCTAGGCGTTCTCATTAAGGACGAGCGGGACATGCTATTAGGGGCCGCATGTGTCTCTGCTATCAGGCCCTTAAAATTGACCCTTCAAAAAAAGAAAAACAAAACAAAAGAAAGGGAAGGAAATTAATTAATTGATTAATTAATTACTAATGGTGTTAGTTGTACTCCAATTCCTCCCCTCTCCTTAAATTAATTCGTTTTCTCTCTCCAATTATACGACAAGTGCCCAAATAAAATTTAGAAAAAAGAATTTATAAAAAAAAAAAAGGGGGCAGCAGTTGGTGCATCCATGCCCGATCCATTGAATATTCACGAAAGAGTTAGAGTTAAACCCCAAAAATTTTAAAAACATAAAAGGTAACTAAAGCGAAAATTGCAACCGACCGAGTCAAAGGCGCGTGGCGAAATTACGAATCTAGGCCCCCCACCCCCTCACGGCTTTTCCTCCACCGCCCAAGAGTGTCACCATAGGAAGCTGCACAGCACCCAAAGCTCGCGACGGCACGTGTGACACCAAAAGCTTGACTTTTCGTCGCTTCCCCCCCACATTGTGAAAAGACGTTTTTGTGGCTTCCTTTTGCGGTGAGAACGCGCGAGATTTTCCTCCTTTGCTTTTTGTTTCTTGGAAATTTGCGGTTTTTTCTTTTTTTCCTCTTTTTAATGGCGCATGCCAGCTCGCCATATGTGGGTGCCACGTAGATGGAGAGACCCCCTAAAAATATAAGATGATGGCTGGCGCGCGCTCTAGACTTTTCCACGGGAGGATTGATAGAGAGGGGTAGTTAGGTAATATCGTGTTGACCACTCCAGGGTGGTTGGACCGGTTAAGCGACGCGCGGCGGGGTGTCGAGAGGGGGCAATTAGGTAATATCGTGTTGACCGCCGCCGCCCCCCCCACGTAGGTGGTTGGACCGGTTAACGTGGAGGACAGTCGGGGGGCTTTGAGTATTCTGACGCGGGCTTGTATGTTTCTGTGGCCGGAATTCGATGGGGACACGCCACCGACCGGGGATCCGCCGCCGGCACATGTTGCAAATCGCAATGGCGATGGCCAAATTGGTAACTCCCCGTCGGAAAACGAAAAGAGGCCGTCGAAAAGCCAAATTGATTAATGTCGTCGAAAAGCCAAATTAATTGATGTTGTCTCAGCTGTTGGATAATAATAATCACCGATATCAAAGCATGATTTTCCGGTTTCATTGTTCCCGTCGCATCTCGACCTCTTCAGATGGTGATTTCCGATTAATCTTAGCCTCCCGCTGTCAGGTGAGCCACGGGCCCGTTGACGACATTTCGGCTAGAGCCACTCATTTTGTCCTAAATCTATACTGATTGTTACAAATAACTTCTAATGATAAAGCTTTAGGTGATTCATGTCGTGCCAAGTTAGTTTACAGCAATTCCTGACCTATCTCACGGCGGTCGACGCCATAGACGATCATGGGAAAACGTCCGATTTACAAACCTTTACTTACACAAGCTTAGTCTTTTCAATTACTAGTCTAACTAAATATGCTAAAGTATATACGTTTCATCTCTGGAAAAACCCAAAAGTGGGATTCACCTTTTCCTTTCGAAAAAGACGCATATGCCCCCCCTAAAGCATCAAGTGACCCAAAAGCAAAAAAAAAAAGGAGAGGAAAAATTCAGGGAAAGCAACGCGACATCTGATGAACCAGCCCACGCCAACTTCCCATTGAAGAAGCTTCAAAGAAAGGCGAACCAGTCAGACCTGCTCCTCTATAAGAAGGGAGGGGACACAACGATCAAGTGAAGGCATGTCCGCATTTGTTTAATCACAGTGGAATCTCACAGCAACTCTCCACCATCATCATCATCACCATTTGCTCCTCTGCAACATTCGCTGTCGCCCAACCTCCATCGATTCCACCACCACCTCTCTTCTTATATAAGCTCCATCCACCTCTCTATCTCTCTACACAGTCGCTCTGCACATTCTCCTCGACTTGAGCTTCCGTAGAAGAGCAAAGAACTCGCATACGAAGATGGATTTGGCCGGTTTCAAGGTGTCGATCCTCCTCGCCCTCCTGGCGACCGCCTGCATGGCGCAGTCCCCGGCCCCGTCGCCCACCGCCACGCCCCCGACAACCGCCGCGCCGACCCCGGTCTCGACCCCGCCGGCTCCGACCCCGGCGCCCAAGGCCGCCCCGGTGCCTTCCCCGGCCACCCCGTCCCCGACCCCGGCCGCGGCCCCGTCGCCGACCAAGACCCCGACTCCGTCCCCGTCTCCTTCGCTCTCTCCCAAGAATTCCCCGTCCCCGTCCCCGTCTCCGTCGGCCTCGTCCCCACCCGCCCCGCCCACGGCGGTCGAGGTGCCCGCGACTGCCCCCACCACCGGAGGCAACAGCGCCGGAGCCTCGACCGTCGCCAGCGCCGCCACCGTCCTCACCGGAATTCTCTTCGCCTACATGCTGGCGTAAGAGAAAGAACTGCTTAGCCACCTTGCCTAAACTTCGTTCATCGCAGGGTGAAACTGAAGTTTAGGCAAGAATTTACCGTCGTTATAAAATTTTTCCAATTCTTTTTTCACGTCACACTTCTTTTTCTTTTGGTCAGCGTCTCTTTGTATTTTCGGGCTCGGGGTTTGACTTTAGGGTTTGGAGCTTCACGAGCGATTCATTTCGATTCTTGATTTGACGATTGTGATTCGTTTTGGTATGGTGTTGGCACGTGTAATCATCCACTTGTAGATGAGTCCCATTTTATGTAAATCTTTATATTTATTGATGAAATAAAGAGGTTCGTGATCATATTCTTTTCATCATGTGCTTTTGTTCCGTGATTATCTTTCTCCCTCGAAGAAGATCGACCTTGTGGCGATGATCTGTAGAAAGAATTTTCATGTGGAGGTGGCATGAACTTGCCGGTTCTCATAAGTGCAAAGTCACAAATTTCGAGTCACATATATAAAGAATCAATCGCAACATTTGATCTAACATGATTTCTTCGACTTTCTCTTATGTATGTTTGATTTGTTGCAATGGAGCAAGTGTTGGCAGTACTTGCTCACGAGAATGTGTAGAAAATGATTTTGAAATGAACAACTTCAGTTAGGTACGCTCCGATTTGGACATTTCCATAGTACAATTGAGAATTACAAAACAGGGAATAGAAAAAAAAAATAACAGACTTCATCACCGACAAATCACATTATATGAAGTGGAATATAGAATTCTAACAATTGTTAAGGTTTGTATCATGCAAAACATCGACAAATCTACCTTTTCCTTTCGAAAAAGATAACTTATTTGTTTTTCAATGTGGGTAGATTTCAAAATGAGTTGGTAAGCGTAAAAAAAAGGACAATTATCAAAACAAGTCCTAAACATATTGAACTTCCACCTATTTAATCTTAAATCTTTCAATTTGGCCAATTTAGTTATAACTTTTTGACAATTTGTCGACTTAGGGTGCGCATGAATACCATTCTGTGCCTGGGCGCTATTTCTGAACAGAAATGATTTTTTTTGATTCTGTGCCCGGAAATAATTTCTGAGTATTTGAAGGCGTTTGATAAATGTCTAAAATTTCTATTCCTAGAGTAGAAAAGAACAGAAATGCGTTTGGTAACTACACAAAATTTCTGTTCCCAAATAATATTTTAATAATATTTTGAATTGTTTAAATTTTTTTTTTCTTTTTACTTTCTTCTTTGGCCATGGCCGGTCGCCGGTCGCCGGCGACCGGCCACAGCCCAGGGCCGGCGAGGGCGTCACGGACGCCGGCCGCGCGGCCGCCCCGGAGGCGAGGGTCGCTCCTCGCTGCCGAGGGGGCGAGGCTCGGCCTCGCCGTCGGGCCGAGCCGCCGGCGAGGCCGACCTCGCCGTGGGTCGACGCGACGGCCGCGGCGCGAGGCTCGGCCTCGCCTCGCCTCGATCCGGGCGAGGCCGCCTCGCCTCGCCCGCGGCGAGGCTCGGCCTCGTTCGATCGGCGAGGCCGCCTCGCCGGGCGAGGGCGACCTCGCACTCGCCGCGGCGACCGGCCGGCGGCCGGCGAGGGCCGTGACGCCCTCGCCGGCCCTGGGCTGTGGCCGGTTGTCGGCCGCCGGCGACCGGCGACCGGCGGCCGGCTCAGCCAGGGAACAACACACAAAATAAGAAATGAAAAAAAAGAAAAAGAAAAAAAAACTGATTCTCAAAATTGTCTTAGAAACAAGAAGCAACTTTTTTTACTTCTTGTTTCTCTTCCAAAATGTTTCTCGGCGCAAATTTTTGCAAAAATGTGCCGAGGAACAAAAAGTTTACCAAACGCATTTCTGGGAACAAAAGAACAGAAATTTTCACTATTTGGCACGTTACCAAACGGGCCCTTAGTCATTTCGGCCAATTTTGACAGAAAATCACTGACCTAGGACCTGTTTGGTAACATTTATGTTTTTTGTTTTTTTGTTCTTTTGTTTCCCCGAACAGAAAAAGAACATAAATCTATTTTTGTACGTCAGCTATTTTTTTCTATTATCCGAAATAGATCAGTTGTCAGTGAATAGATTTGAAACCGAAACAAGAAGTAAATTAGAAATCTATTATTGTGTTCGTAGGAACAAAAAGAAAAACAAGGTAATTTTAGAAAAACAAACTTAGCATAACCTAAACCTTAAACAATAAACCCTACACCCTACATCTTAAGCCTTAAACTCAAACCCTAAACTCTACACTCTACACCATAAACCCTAAATCGTACACTCTACACCCTAAACCCTCACCCTAAAGCTCAAAAGGTTTATGCACTTGTTTACTGTAACGCCCTAAGATTTACTGTCAACCTCCTCATATTGTGAGTTATAAACCAACAAAACACTCTACTTCCATTTCGAGCCAATTCTGACTAACTATTACGTTTGATTTTCTAAGGCAATCATAAAATTTCTTGATCAGTTAAGTCCTTACAAAAGTCCAGTTTTATCCAAATATGAATTGTTAAGTCTCCACCGACATTTTTATAATTAAGTAAAAAAATTGAGAATAGAAACTTTTAGGGTTGTACCAAACGCAATTATGTTCTTTTTCTATTCCAGAAATAGATACTTTGTACAGTTATCAAACACGTTCTTCTACTCAGAAACTTGTCTAGAGAATAGAAATAGAAAAAACTATTTATGAACAAAAATTGTTCTTGGGAACAGAAATGTTACCATAAGCACCGGTAGACGTCAGTTATCCCACATATCACGACAGGCATTGACTTGGACACTTTTTGCAATTTTTGTTGAATTTTAAATATTTTCTTTGTTTTATTTTCTTCCTCTCTTTTTTTCGTTCTTCCTTCTCCGGTCGCCGGGCCTCAACAATGGCGCTAGATCTAGCGAGGGTCAACCTCATTAGCCTCTAGTGAGGCTCAACCTTGATAGGCCAACCTAGCCTCGAGCGAGGCTTGCCCTCACCAGATCCAGGGAGGTCGAGCCTCACCCGAAGCTGGTGAGGCCAACCCTTGCCCGAGGCTAGTGATGTTGGCCCTCGCCAGATATGACGAGGGTGGCCTTCGCTTGTGGTCAATCGCCGAGGCCTAGCAACCGGTGGGGAAAGAAGGAAAAAGAAAAGAAAAAGAAAAATATATATAAAAATTGCAAAAATTGTCAATGTTAGCACCGGCCGTGTCACGTAGGATAGCACGCGGTAGTTGACGGGTGTATCAGTTTGGGGTTTAACCCTCTGCTTGTCACATGAGTACCAGTTTGTAGTTTTTTCGTGGCATTAATTCAATTAATCGGAAATTAACGGAGGGTAAATTTGTCATAAATGTATCAATTTGGGGTTTTTTATGGTCAAAAAATTAGTTTGGGTTAATTTGTCACAAATGTACCGGTTTAGGATTTTTGGTGGTCAAAAATTAGTTTGGAGTAAATTTGTCACATGTATATCAGTTTGAGGTTTTTCATGGTATAAACCTTTTAGAAATGGTCAATACCATAAAAAATCCCAAACTATGCCTACTATGACACAAATATCCTAAACTTTTTTTGTGTCACTTAAAACCTTAAACTTGCCTATTACGACACAAATAGCCCAAACTTATTCCAGTGTGACAAATGTATTCTAGATGAAACTAAAATAGAAGGTGCATATGTTGCATATGTATAAGTTTCAGTTTTTTGTCACACAAAAAAAGTTTGGGGTATTTATGTCACAATGGGCGTAGTTTGGATTTTTTTTTATTGTACATGCCCTTTTAGAAATTACCAACCTCAAATATAATGGGGATAATGACACAAACAGTCTCTAAACTTTGGCTGAATGGGCAATGTGATTCTTGGACTTTCTATTTGCTCAATGTAGTCTCTGAACTTTAGCCTAATGTTCAATATGGTCCCTGAAATTTTAATTTGTTTAATGTGGTCCCTGGATTTATGATACATGTTCAATGTAGTCCCAAACCATATGAAAATGTTCAAGGACTACGGGCACGTTTGGTTCAACTTTGCAAATGAGCCTTGGGGGAATGCAAATACCTTTAGGTTAAAGCCCCCCCGGGAAATGCAAATGGCGTTTGGTAAAAAATCCTTTGTGAAGTTACTATGCCCCAAGTAGTGTTTGGTTATTTTATTTTTTTTTGCAAAGGGCATTGGGATTTTCTTTTTTATTAAAAAAAAACCTTACCCTTCGCCGACCGGCGTGCTAGATTTGGCGCCGGCAACCATCGCTCGAGGTCAGTTGACCGCCGGAGAGCCAGATCTGGCGCTGGCAGCCGTCGCTCGAGGTTGGGCGACCCTCACCGAGGGTCGCACCACCCAGGTGTCGTTGATTGGGTCGCTCGACCTCAGGTGACGGCCACCTGGGGTCGTTCAACCCAAGCTACACGACCCAGGCGGCCATCGCCTGGAGTGTTGCTTGGGATCACGCGACCTCAAGCGATGATAGCTTGGGTCAAGCAACCCTAGGCGACAACTGCCTAGGGTCGCGCAACCCAGGCCAACGACGCCTGGGCAGTTGCGCAACCTCAGGCGACCGTCGCCTGGGTCGAGCAACCTCGTTGGCCCTCGCCGGCCCTTCGCCATCCAGATCTGGTGTTGTCGGCCGCTTTCGCCGGCCACCCTTGTGCAAAGAAGATTAACAGTAATAATGAAGGGAAAAACCAAAATATTAAAGAATAAGTGAGGGTAATTTGGGAAGAAAAAAATTGATTGCCAAATGCTGAAAGCTCAAAGCTGGTCCAGACCAGCTTTTAACTTTCAGCATTCCCAATGCTGGCTTTCGGTCGAAAGCTCATTAGGAATGCTTGCCAAACGCCCTAGCATTTCCCCAAGGGTTTTCGAGGCCGAAAGCCCCTTGAGAATTAATGAACCAAACGGGGCCTACATCGAATATTTTCATGTAATTCAAGGACTAAATTGAACATACAGCAAAAGTTTATAGATGACATTTAACAAATTAAAAGTTCAGGGACCACATTGCACATTAGGTTAAAGTTCAGGGACTACATTGAATAAATTAAAAGTTCATGGACCATATTGTATATTGAGCCAAAATTCATGGACTGTTTGTTTCATTTTCCCAATATAATGATTACCAATTTTTTATTTCTAGTCAGGTTACAAAGTAGTTTTATAGTACTATCTTTTGTTTGAATTAGTTACCAATGTTTATTATTATTATTTTTAGATTACGAACTTATTTTGTCTTTTACCAACTCCTATTAACCTTTTTTCACAATACTTTAAACTTACTGACTATCAATCGCATAAATTAGCAACCTTTTTTGTGTGACTTACCAACTTTTCCCCAGTTGAGCTACCCACTAAATTTGGGTTTCCAACACTGTTTGTATTATGGGATGAATATTGTTGATTTTAGCACAAGCACGCTCAATTTGGTTGGCTTGGTTATCAGCTTACAAACAAAAAGATAGGTCCTTTTGAATTTTGTCAATTCCAACTAATGCATCTTTATCCAGGTCTTAGACTGGTTTTGGCCTCTTGCTCGATCAGAGGCTCTTGTGCAGATTCAAACTGGTATTTGTGCTTATATGCAGACTAATGTCTCTGTCCCTGACAGTGTCATCTGGAAGTTGATTCCATCTGGAAAGTTTACCGTTGGAAGTGCTTGGAATGCTTTGAGATTAAAGTGCTTAAAGTGCCCTGGTGTAAGTTGATATGGTTCAGTCCATGCCTTCCTCGACACAATCTCGTTGCTTGGTTGGCAATAAATAGCAGATTTTCCACGAAGGATAGGTTCCACAAGTGGAATATGCACATCTCACCTGCTTGTTGTTTCTGAACTGATCAGCTATTGAAGACAGGAAATATCTATATTTTTTGAGATGGCATGTGTCCTCTCAGGTCTGGTCTGCTGTGTTACATCTTCATCAGATTTTGAGAGTTCCTAGTGACTGGGATAGCGAAGTTGCCTGGGCCATCAGTTCTTCTAAAGAAAAATCTCTTCCTCAGCTTTTGTTCAGGCTTTCCGGGGCTGCTTATTTAGTTTATCTGCAATACCAGGATTTGTTGTTCACATGACTCTGTTGAAAGTGTTTGTAAAACAAACTTGGAAGTGCCTTGTTCCACATAGAATAAATGGGAATACGAGGGCCAATATAAAAGTGTGGATATCTTCAATTTTAACAAATGAAGTATGAAGATGACAGGCTAAGTCGGTTGGACCCTATAATACATGCATGCGGGTGCCTGAATATTAGGCTTACTTTGCGCGATTGCAAATTTTATTATTTAATTCCAAATTTTATTATTTTTGCCTAACGATTGTTAGGCCTCTTACAACCTTTGGAAGGTTGTGTTTATTCGGACATAACTTCTTAATTTTTGAAAGGTTGTATTTATTCAATGATAATTTGGAATAATTTTTTATTAATCAAAATTTTGGACGTGTTTTTTGAGAAAGTATCCGTTCGCTTTGCAACCTTTCCCGAAGGGTTGCTTCTGTTCTAAAGACGACTGATATAATTTGTTGATTTTCCATCTCAAAAAAAAGGACTTGGTCAAATTTTCTTTCTAAAACTAAAGCTATTGTTTCTAATTGTTTCCTTTTGAGAGTTCTTGGAGAAATACCAGAATTGCTATCTGACGTTCTCATTGAGACTTTGTTGTATCCTAGAGAATTTTTCCGTAATCATTAATAACAATATGGGACAAATAATTCCTCAAAGAAAGTGTTACCACACCTCAAATTCTGATTTTATTTTTCTTCCCGATTGCTTGATTTTTCACGGACAGACTCGTGGTGCGTTATTAGTGCTGTTGTGATTTTTTTGAGAATAAAAAAGGCTGTGCATGGTCGTTCACTTGAATGCTCCGCTGTTGAAAGTAAACTACGTACAAGTCTCCGTGTAGGAATTGGGGTCTTGCTGTTGTGTAGTTCACGACCTTGCATGGGTTCTCGGTGTTATTTATTTTCTTAAGTAAGCTTGCTTGAATTGCATCAGATCGATCGTTATTTAGCAGAAACCTCTCACCACATATTACAAGATATAAAATCTGCTAAATTTCCACAGAGACAAGGCCATATAAAAACCGTTCTATAAGTTTTATTACATCCCATCAAACATATTCCGACACAGTATGCTTTATTATTAATCGGTACATATCATATATTGGCTCGATAAGCATCACATAGGTACGGACGAGAAACGTTATACAAGAAACATCGGCAGCTTCGTTCTTCACCTTATTCCAACTCACAGACTAATATAGTCGTCGCTTATCAAAATAGCTTGAACCGTGACCATGCGGACTCACTATGGTTTCAGCCGACCCTGCAACATGGGCAGAACACAGGTATTAGCAAGAAAATGTCAAAGAAAAGAAAAGAAAAGAAAATCGTCTCATATATTTACTGAGGCTCGCCAAATATACTTTAGAAAAAAAGAAAGTTTGTGCTAGATGGTAGATAATTTTTTTTTTCAAATGGTCGTCTTTCTAGGATTTTCTATCAGAAAGCCTAACCAACCAATTCCGATGCATATGATAAAATTAGAGGGAGTTCTCCTAGGTTCTTCTCTTTGTGGGTGATGATTTGTTCATTCTAATGAAAAAGATAAGGCAGCATGTATAATTTTTCTTTTTCTTACACTGGCTGTGCAATATTCTATAATTTCTCAAATAGTTTGAGGGCTCGCTTAAGTGCTTACTTGGAACAATCAACGTTGGGGGAAACGGCGACGGGCAAGGTGATTTTACAGTTCGCAGGAAGAGCCTGGGCCAACTGTGCGTTAGGGTTCATCTTCTGGGCTGCGTTCTTGATGCACGCGCACGCAGCTTTCTTATCTGCCGAGCTCGTAGCCGCATTCGCGAGTGCCGACACTCCCGCACAACACGCCGGCGGCGGCATCCCCGAGCCACTCTTGAGGTAGCTCACGCACGGCCTCAGGTCCTTCAACACGTCGCTGCATGAGATCACGGATTGCGACACTGGGACTCGAGTGGATAGGAGGAAGAGAGCGATGGACAATGCAAGCACCGCAAAACTCGAAGGCCTCATGGTGAGAGGGAGAGAGGGAGAGAGCGTTTGTATGTGTGTGTGTGTGTGTAAGGTGTTTGTGTGAGGAGGGTTTAATCATGTCTGGTTATCTATATACATGGTTTACAGGGAAGCTAAAGAAAGCAAGAAAGGTTAGAGAAATGCATGGAAGACTTTAGGGCACTCCATGATTGAGCATATTGAGTGCAAGAAAGAGCAAAAGTTGCTGGACATGGTTTCTTGCACTTTTTCTTGGTTCTTGCCCAAATGAACGTGTGCGTCGATGTCTATCTCGTGTGTTCACTTGCTGCTTAACATTGAGATGTGTCGGTGAAAAACAGAGAAAAATCTTCCAACCACCATGTGATCCGGGCACAAAGAGCTTGACGAACGAGTGGAGAACACCTGTCATGTAAGCTGGAGAAGCCTAAGGTTGCTTGAACTAGTGAGCAGACGGTGGCTAGTAAAATGTCACAGTCTCACAACAATAGTATATATTTCACTTAGATCAAGTCAAAAGAATAGGAATTTGCTTGGAACATTGTCCAAAAAATCCTAAACTTATTGTACGGCGACTAATTCAGTCATAAACCTTTTAATTGTACCAATTTAGTTCTAAATCTTTTGACAATTTGCCAATTTAGTCAAACCTTTTTATTGTTCCAATTTAGTCCTAAAACTTTTAATGATTTGTCAATTTCGTCTTAAATCTTTTAACGATTTGCCAAATTACTCCTTCCTGCTAATTTTGACTAGAAACCGCAGATGTGGAGGTCTAATCAGCGTCGGCCATCCTATCTAGCATGATGGGCGCTGACATGGATATTTTTTTTGCAAATTTTTACTTTTTTTCCTTTTCTCTTTTTTTATTTTTTTCATTTTACCTTTTTCCCTCTGCTAGCCATTGCCGGCCTAGGCAACGGCTACCCACGCTGCCCAGGCGAGGGTGGCCCTCGCCAGCCCAGGGCACTGGTGTCCGTTACCCAATCGGTGAGGGTGGACTAAAAGGGAAAAGAAAAAATAGAAAAGGAAAGGAAAGGAAAAAAAATTCTTAAAATTAAAAAGAAATTGTAAAAATTATCCACGTCAGCATCGGTCATGCCATGTAGGACGATCGATGCTAACTAGACTGCCGTGTAAGTGATTTTTGGCCAAAATTGGTAAATCGTTAAAAGGAATAAAATTGTCCAAAAATAACTGAACCTATTGTACGATGGCCAATTTAGTCATAAGCATTTTCAATTGTGCCAATTTCGTCCTAGAACTTTTGATGATTCACCAATTTAAATCTAAATCTTTTAACAATTTGCCAAATTAGTCCTTTCGACCAATTTTAACCAAAAACCGCCGACGTGGCAATCTAGTCAGCGTCGGTTGTAGTACGTAGCATAATCGGCGCTAACGTGGACAAAGTTTACTTTTTTATTCCTTTTCTCGTCTTTTATTTTTTCTTTTCTCTTTCATTATCCTTTTTTTCCCTCCGCTAGCCATTGTTGGGCTTCGTTTATGGCTGGTGGAGGTTGCTGCCCTTAAGCAAGGCCGACGAGGAGGGACCTCGCCTAAGGACACCAAAGGGAAAAAGGGAAAAGAAAAAAGATAAAAAGGAAAGGAAAGGAAAGAAAAAAAAGAAAAAATTCATAAAATTAAAAAAATTTGTAAAAATTTTTCATGTCAGTGCTGGCTGTGCCACGTAGGACAGTCGATGCTGATTAGACCGCCATGTCAATGATTTCTGGCCAAAATTGGCAAATAATTAAAATGTTTAGGACTAAATTGACAAATCATTAAAATGTTTAGAACTAGATTGGCATAATTAAAATGATATTGACCGCTGTACAATAGATTTAGGACTTTTTGGACAATTTTGCTTGTAGGACCATATTTTGCTTCCATTTATTTTTGTGGAAAAAAATTCCTAAATCAATCTTTTGATTGGCGAGTTAATAACATGTTCGTTTATGTTTAGAAAAAGAAGAAAGAAAATTTGCTTTCTCACCAAATTTAAAATATTATCTATATTTTTAAAAAATTATGAAAAATATGAGAATTTACGTGTCAAAATCTATATGCTGCGGAAGTTTCAAATGATACGGGCCAAGAAAAAGTCAAACTTTGTCTGTCACAAAACATGGATTAAAGAATGTAAAAGCTTATCCAAACATACCCTAAAACGTTGGCACTACCTACTTTAGACTCTATTTATTTCGCAAAAAATAAATTATTTAGAAAATATTTTTTTAAAAATGATCGCTAATATTGCTTACAAAAATTAAAAAAATGAAAGATATTTCATTGTTCATGAAAATTTTTAAACATAAATTATCTTCGATGATGAAAATATTTTTTATCGACTAATTATTTTAAGTGATACAAGCGATCATTTTGAGAAAAATATTTTTCAAATTATTTACTTTTTACAAAACAAACGAATACTTATATTCACATAAAGTTTGCATGGATGACGTCCACAACCTGTGTCCCACCGCTAAGAGGCTGGAGGAACTTTTCTCTTGTCAGAAATGGAAGAAAATATAATCATCGCACACATATAGAGGAGTGATTTCATGATTTGTAAACTATATAGACCAATGACATCCCAATCATTGGCTATGTGGATAGATAAGTTATAGGAAATTTTTCGAAAAAGTCATAAACCTATTACATTTTTGCCGATTCAGTCCTAAATCTTTTAATTGGGTCAATTGAGCCCTAAATCTATTCACATTTTTTCAATTGAGTCCATGAGGCCAATTTTGGCCAGAAATCACTAATTAGGACGTTGTCCGTTTTACGTGGCATGGCTGGTGCTGACGTGATTATTTTCAATAATATTTTAATATTTTTTGAATTTTTTATTATTTTGTTTTGTTTTTCCTTTTTTCTCTTTTCCTTATTCTTTACTTTTTTCTTACTGGTCGGTGAGGGTCGCCGGGCCTTCGCCGACTGCGAGCAAGGGCTGAAACACCCTTGCTTAATAGCTAGCAAGGGCCTAGCAACCTTGCCAGCAAATAAGAAAAAAAGTAAAGAAGAAGGAAAGGACAAAGAAAAGAAAAAAAATAACAAAAATTAAGGAATTCAAAAGAATATTAAAATATTATTAAAAATTGTTCACTTCAATGCTAGCCATCCACGTTGATCGTGCCATGTGGGGCAGCTGACATTCATGTCAACGCTTTCCAGCCAAAATTGGCCGGTTTGATTCAATTGGCAAAATATAAAAAGGTTTAGGACTTAATTGGCAAAATTGAAATATTTAAGATTGAATATATTTAGAACTTTTGGACAATTTTCCCAATAAGTTATTGCACGATTTATAGATCATGTAGACCAATAGACCAATAAGGCTGCATTTGGTGATCCGGGTTTGAGTCCATTATCCTATCTAGTGTTTGGTGGCGTTCTCCGGACCAGATAAACTCAGATACATCTGGATAAAATGCCGGATAAGAAATCTGGCCTAGGGGATGAGATAGACCCTAATTGGATATAAAATTTTAAAAATTAACTTAGCAATTCCCATGCACTAGGAAAACCCCACCTCCAGTAAGACTCACTGTTCTTGGCGTTTCTCACCGGCGACACCCTACCACCACTCCAGCGGTCGTCCACCGTGATGATCCCTCACTTGGGCATCCTCAAGTATCCTCGCCGGTGCCCTTGCTCGTGACTCACTTGGAAGGTCAGGGCTCACCACCTCATCCATGGCTCCTTCTCTTTCTCAGTCGGTTTTCCAGCTTTTCCACCATCACTGAATCATCTCTCGGTTCCTCTCTCTACTTCACTTTTGATTACTCATTATTGGCCTCCATTGTTCAACGATCTCTATCTTGGTCGAGTCTGAACTAAGTGCTCATCAAGTGTATGATGAAATTCCAGAGAGATCCTCCTCGCCTTCAGTTCGGAATTTTGCTTAATGGAAGAGGTCGATTTCTCAGAGACTACTTGTTGACGACAGTGGCTGAGAGGATTTAAGTCGTCACGTACACAAGGAGTAGATGGGATATTAAAAGATTTTCCACAAGAAAAATTTTAAAAGATTTTCAATTCTATCTTAGGTCGCACAAAACATTTGATGGGATATTTCTACGATCCGGAGGATATTTGGAGGATTTCAAATCCCTTTTATTCTATCATATCCCAATGAGAATCCGGACGACCAAATGTAACATAATATCTCAACCATTGACTACTGTCACGACCCGCCATTCTCATGGCTTGAATGGTGTAGCCTGGCATGGCGCTAAGTTTAGGTTTGAAACTTAACTCGGGCCCTTCCAAGCCCATACCATATAGCGACTTGTGGTTTAGATTTTTAACTTGTAAGTGATTTTTATCTAGGAGTCACCACTAATCAATTTGGGATAAGTCGATTAGAAACCCAAGTAAGGTGACGAGAGAATCACCCTACTCTTACTAACCAGAGATTGAATGAGTTCGGGGACTTGGTTACACTAGTTGAGTGATTAATGCCCTCTCGGTACTTTTTATCCTGTTCATTTTAGAAAATATTTGTTAGGCAGTTTGGATTGATTTTAGAACCTATCTCCTAACATGTGAGGTGATCAAGCGAGTGCACAATCATTAAATTAATGATGAGCAGTCAAGATAAATATGTAGCTTAGGGTTTTAATCCTAACTAGGGCAACAACATTCAAAACATGACAATTTATGCAATTATATTCTAACTAGAAACAAGATGCATAATAATAATACAACAGTAGTAAAGATAACATGCAAAATCCTACTGTATAGCCTAATTTAGAAAAATATTTAAAAATACTATTATTTCCTAATTTTAATAAACAAAAATGAATTTTTTTTTATTTTTTAAAAGTTTAATAAAAATATTTTTTAATATAATATTATATCAGGTCGGGTCAGCGGATCCGGATTGGGTCAGAACCGACCCGCATCAACGGACCCGACCCATATGCGTTGACCCGGGTCGGATCTCTAGATCCAAATCGGGTCGGGGTCAACCCGGGTTATGGATCGGATCGGGCTCGATCTGGTGGAAAAGGAGAAAATAGGGCTGGTTCAATTGGATCGAACCAGCCTCGAAGGGTCTATAGACCGGTTTAGGCATGTTCTTGCGTGTTCAAGCACACGAGAACAGCGGCCGGGTGAGATCCGACGATTTGTCGACCGTCTCACCTGGCCATAGGCCTCGGCCTCCTCAGCCAATCAAGCTGAGGAGATCCCTACCCGGTCGGTTGCCTGGTGGCCGATCGAACCCCGATCGGGGCTCTTTGAGCCCAAACGACGGTCGGGGTTTGGCCGGCCAACCCAAGCAAATGGTTGGCCTTGACTAGCCTTCGGCAGCCACCACGAGGCCAACCTAGGCCTGCTACTCCACCGGCAGACTCTGATGCCGATGGCCAAAATAAAACGACTTCATTCATACATTTCATCGAACACATGGCGTGCATTGGCAAAATAGGGGTTTTCGACCTACTTCAGGGCCAAGGTCTACTCCGATGGCCACAACTCACCTCCTACAGCGAGTATGGATCGAGATTAGGAACGGTATGGGTCGGGATTCACGCGAGACGGTCGGCACGAGTCCTAGCCAAACCGTGCACAAAAACAAGGGAAAACAGAGCACAGCGGAGACCCAAAGGACTAACCGGACAGCTTGGCGGATTGCCGCCGGCTCTAACTTGATGGGGAAGGCTCCTGTGGCTTCATCCTTCTACCTACAAACGAAAGTCCCAAACTTTCTCACTTAATCTCTCTATTTTTCTCTTTTCTTTCTCTCTGCTTTGTTTCTTTGTTTCTCCTTGTGGCCGCTCGCCTCTCGTTCTACACTGATCCTTTTATGGATGAAGGCCACTTGCTTCTTTTCCACATGTCTTCATTCAATGACCTGCATCGGCTTACTCTGCGTCTTTGACTTTTGTGGGCGTTTTAGGCCAGTGCAGAGAGGGGTGCTTTGCTCCTCTGCCTCTCGGTGTCCACGGCAAGGGGGAGGGGAAGAGGAGAGAGAGAGAGAGGGGCTAGGCTGAGCGCTGGCGAGGGGAAAGAAAGGCTGGCCGTGCTACCGGCTGCGCGAGGGAGAGAGAGAGAGGAGTGTCAGGTATTTGGTTGTGCGAGGGAGAGAGGAAGATGGGGTCAGCATGCGTGAGGAAGGAGGAGGAGAGGCTGGGCCAGGCCAAGCCCAATCCTGTGCGGAAGGGAAGAAGGAAAAGGGGGTCGAGTCGAACCACCAGACCCGATCTGATTTTTTTAATTACTTTTTAAAAAAAAGAAATATATTCTGATAATGAAAAATACACCTAAAGTCTACATGTCATGCAATGAAAATATTTTTGTTTTAGGAATCAAAAATTTAATTCTTAATTTTGTGCAATCAATTGGGCAACAAATAAAAAAAGTATCAACAACTACGTGAATCTCATTGTGGGGTCCATGCAATCAACCTTGCAGATGGACTTGATCTATATGATCCATAGATTATGCAACGTTTTTTCTCATGTATATATTGTTCTGTCCACGAGCATCCCTGCTGGACTTAGGTTAATGAAGAATCGCATACACGCATTTATAAAAGCTAAATTAAGGACCCAATCACTTGTTTCTTCCTTCGAGATAGCATTGAAAAACAAAAGCCTTATTCACGACTGCTTGGCAAAATGAGTTTGATCGTTAATTACCCAAGACTCAATTTCATTTTTTTAGTATTATTACAACTGGTCTTGATGTCGTGGCAAAGTGAACTGCATTAGATGCATCTCTAGAAGAGATATTCCAATTTTCGACATGATGTGTTAAAACTTTGCTAACTTCATATTCGTGTTAGAAGATTTAAGTACTTAGCTACGGTTTTATTTAACAATTTAAGCTTTTAAAAGTTTAGTAATAACCTTAGGTTCGTTTGAGTCTCTTTAGACCCTCTGTGATCAACACTTTAATCTTAAGCTAAATCTCGGAATGTAACCACAAGGCTTTACGTAATCCAAACATGTGACAAATTGCGGACAAGTTATTAGGAGTAGGGAACGAGTACCTATCAAGGGGCTCGATGTTATGCACCTTCTAAGCATCGATTCATTAATTTTTTGTGCAAGTCCATGCGTCGAAGCCGACTCTAAATTTTTACTAAAGCTCGCCCCTCATAAAACTTTTATATACAAATCTTGGGATTGGACCTTCTCACTAAATGCCCTTATAAATATTTGTATGCGATTAGGAGTAGGGAACGAGTACCTATCAAGGGGCTCAATGTTATGCACCTTCTAAGCATCGATTCATTAATTTGTTGGGCGAGTCCATGCGCCGAAGCTGACTCTAAATTTTTACTGAAGCCCGCCCCTCATAAAACTTTTGGGAAAAGTGCCAAAAAAGTCCTAAACCTTTTGCATTGGTGCCAATTTAGTCCTAAACCTTTTTTTGGTGCCAATTCAGTCCTAAACCTTTTTTTGGTGCCAATTGAGTCCTAAACCTTTTGCATTGGTGCCAATTCAGTCCTAAACCTTTTGTCTTTATGTCAATTCAATCCTTCCGATCAATTTTGGCGGGATTTTGCTGACGTGGACGCCGACCGGCCGGCCACCGGCGCCGATGTGGACAACTTCAATAATATTTTAATAATTTTTTTGAATTTTTTTGAATTTTTTTCTTTTCTCTCCCCTCCCTCCAGCCGGTCGCCAAGCTGGTGATCGGCCGGTGGCCAGAGGCCAGAGGTCGGCGCCGGCCTCTAGCCTCTGGGCTCTAGCCTCTGGCCATCGACCGGTCGTCGGTCCGGCGACCGGCTGGAGGGAGGGGAGAGAAAAAAAAAAAGAAAAAAAAAAAAGAAAAAAATTCAAAAAAATATTAAAATATTAAAAATATTATTAAAGTTATCCACGTCAGCGCCGATGACCAGCCGCCGGTCGGTCGGCGTCCACGTCAGCAAAATCCGGTCAAAATTGACCAAAAGGACTGAATTGGCACAAAGACAAATGGTTTAGGACTGAATTTGCACCAATGCAAAAGGTTTAGGACTAAATTGGCATCAATACAAAAGGTTTAGGACTTTTTTGGCATTTTTCCCTGAAACTTTTATATACAAATCTTGGGATTGGATCTTCTCACTAAATGCCCTTACTCAAGCCTGTCCAAAATTCTTTTTGGGCCCTTTTGGCTCAGATTCAGCTTGGGCAGGCTTGTACCCTGCCAAACCCATGATCAAACCTATTATCCGGCATGAAAAATGTCTCGCTTATCCTTTTCTAAAGTATCCGTCAAAGCTAATAGGTTATGTTTTGAAATCTGGATTACTTGACCGGATAAGATAGGATGGGATAAGAAATTCTATACCAAATACTTTGCCCGGGAAACAATAGATGTAAAGTTTGATATAGAAATATGTCCAATCCCAACTTCTTTGGTATATTGGATAGCATTAGATTGGAGTTTTTCTTAACAAAAAAATGAAATTTAAGATGAAAACCTGGCTAATTGAGGAGAGGCGGTAAAGACGGTATTGGCGGTCGATTCCACGTTTATGGGCTCCTTCGGGGCGGTGACCGCTGCTGATCTCGACAGTGGTCGCTGCCCTGAAGAGCGATGGGAAGTGAACGCTTGAAGATGGGGGAAGAGATCAGAGAGAAAATATTAGGTTCATCCAAATTAATCATCAAGGCAATAATTGTTCAAAAAGTCTTACCCGCCCCCACTTAACAAGAAAGAATCTGCACGTTCTTCTTACTCTAAAAAACCAAAGCAAGTTTAGAATGGTGCAATCATACTAACTCTCCTGTTTAGGATACCGATCATCAGTGTCGGCCAATCGTAATCACAAAGATGTGATTGCAAATTTTATACGAAGTATCATAACACACAAAAAAAGGAACAAAGTGAAATTCGGAGATATAAAGAACAATTTATTGATTAATTCCTCGAGTTGTGTAGGGAAGATAATATCAAGAACATATTTAGGATAGATGGTTAAGTATTCTACTGCAAATAAAATGACGTGATAAACTTTATTGAGCATTCTAGTACGTCTTCTTCTCATTCAAATATACCAACTAGGGTTCGTCAAATCACTTTCAAGCATCAATTTTTAACGAATCAATTATTTTCTCATCGCCGCTTCCTACTTGCATCGTAAAATCGCTGATCGGACATGGATGCAATGATAAAATATCATCACGTAAGCTCATACGTGGGATCGGACTCCGAAATCAATCAATCATTTAAGTAACATACTTTAAATTTATGACTTTGTTCTATTGCACCTGACCATAAGTAAGTGATTATTGGTCATCAGATAGCGATATGTACCTTTGTAGTGTCTTCTTAATATTAATTTCTTATGTGTCCTTCAAATATGTTGCTTCTTCAAGAAGGAGGCTGGCGGCGACTGATCGGGAAGAGGCGGCTACATAAGGCAGGCAAAGAAAACAAAAAAAGATATGAAATAAATCTGGACAAACGCCACGAAAAACTCAAATTATGGCTATTGTGAAACATTTACCCGCATTTATTTTTGTGACATCGGAAACTCAAAACTATATCCACTGTGATACATTTATCCTTAACTTTTTCTTGCGACATAAAACAACCTCAAACGAACACCTATATGATACATTTACCCTCCGTCAATATTCTATTTGATGATTTTTCAGCCGAAATAAGATCGTTTTTATGCCATGTCAACATTGTTAGCTTTTCGGCGTCTATGAGGGCGAATTTTCAACGGTTCTTGTTGACAGAATTTTGATGGAGGGTAAATGTGTCACACAGGTACAGGTTTTAGATTTTTCAAATCACAGCAAAAAAGTTATAATAAATATGTCACGGTGGGTATAGTTTAGGATTTTTGCTGGCTTTTGCCTATTTCATTTTATAGCAAAAAAAGATTTTGATCCTTATTCTTTACGCATCAGGACAACATGCTAAGTGACCAACTTTCCTATATATACGATGAAGCGACCGTGTTACAAATCAAGATGAGCATCTCCTCGGAGTCGTCCACAATTTGCTGACCATCCGGAGAAAGTAACACGGGGACGCAGGATAGTCGCCAAGCAAAATGCCAACCCTGAACTCTCCAGAGAACGCAGAAAAGGTCCCTCTTCTGCAGAACTCGACCGATCGGCAAGAACGAGATGACGTTAAGGGAGGAGAAGAAGAGGGAGGAGATCAGAGCCTAGCCCAGAGGGTGTGGGTCGAATCGAAGAAGCTGTGGCACATCGTTGGCCCCTCCATCTTCAGTCGCGTCGCCTCCTACTCCATGGTGGTCATCACCCAGGCCTTCGCGGGCCACCTTGGTGACCTCGAGCTCGCCGCCATGGCTCTCACGACCAACCTCGTTATCGGCCTCGACTTCGGCCTCCTTGTACGTACTAAAATTATTCTTATGCTCTTCATGTCATGTCGGACGTGGTTCCCCCTATAGATGCTTTTCTTTACGGAAGTTGAGTCGATGATCCCAAATGCTCCTTTTGAATTTGGTGAGTAGCTCGGGATGGCGAGCGCCTTGGAGACGTTGTGCGGGCAAGCGTTCGGGGCCAAGAAGTACTACATGCTTGGCGTCTACTTGCAGAGGTCGTGGATCGTCCTCCTCCTGTGCTGCATCCTTCTCTTGCCGCTCTACTTGTTCGCCTCCCCGTTCCTGAAGCTCCTCGGCCAGCCCCACGACATCTCCGAGCTGTCGGGCATTGTGACCCTGGTCATGATCCCGCTCCACTTCAGCTTCGCCATCCAGATGCCGCTGCAACGGTTCCTCCAGAGCCAGCTCAAGACCGCGGCCATTGCCTGGGTGTCCTTGGGGGCTCTCGTGGTTCATGTGCTGATGAGCTGGCTGTTAGTGTACCGGCTCCAGCTCGGCTTGGTCGGGACCGCCATGACCCTCAACTTCTCGTGGTGGCTGCTGGTGCTCGGGATGTTCAGTTACTCCGTGTGCGGCGGGTGTCCTCTCACTTGGACCGGCTTCTCCATCGAGGCCTTCTCTGGCCTCTGGGAGTTTGTCAGGCTCTCTGCTGCCTCTGGACTCATGCTCTGGTACCTCTCCCTCTCTCTCTCGGCACAAACTTATTGGCATCAGTCACTCTTACGTTACTTTGGGTTGTTATCAAATGGTCTCGATCTTGTTACTAAGTCTTGGTTGTGCTTGATTCATATCGAGTTAGATTGAGATTACTCTTCATAAATTCATCGCGAGTTTACGGGGTTTTCGCCCTAGTTTCAACGCGCTATACAGCAAGCCACGAGGATCGGTAGGCAAACTAAATCTGACCAATATCATTGCCCGTGACACTTTTCATATGCAGCTTGGAGAATTGGTACTACAAAATACTGATACTGATGACCGGAAATTTGGAGAATGCCAAGATCGCCGTGGATGCTTTGTCCATATGGTATCCATCCTAATCCTATCATATGCAACTTGTAGTCAGTCACCCCACAAAATTCTACACAGAGTTTGATTTATTGCGCTCGTCTTTTGCTTATAATTCATCTGCATACGGACAAACATATGCCTGTGCCTGTCATTTTCGGGTGATGGTTCGATTTAATTGTTTTTCCATTCTGAACAACGTATTCAACATTTCCACTGTCTCTTTTGGTCAGTGTTGTGGGCTCACTTTGTTTGTCTTCGCTTGGTCAGCATGACAATAAATGCTTGGGAGCTGATGATTCCTTTGGCTTTCTTCGCTGCTACCGGGTAACTTCTATCTTCTCTATCACTTAAATACTAACTTTAAATTACGATGCATCACTATCGCATCGCCCTCTTCTCACCCTTTTCACTACAAAAAACGAAGAAAAAACTCACAAAATTATTCGTCGCATCTGCTTCATTTATCTTTTTTTAATCATTTCTCTCCATGCTATTTCCTCCAATCGTTTTATTAGATTCGACACCACATATTTGAGTTTCATGCGTCGTGTCAGGGTTAGAAATGACCCCACAGCTTTTGCAATAGAGGCCACATGTCTGAGGATTCGGCACAACCATTTGATGGTGGAGGATGACTTAGAGTCTCTCTCTCTCCATGAATTGCATAATGGAAAAAATGGAATGGCTGTCTGTTAGTTGTTACCTGTGCTTGGTCTTCTCCTATTCAAAAGAAGGTTGCTGCTTTTTCGCCAGTAGGGCAGCCGATAACAAAATTATTCATCTGTGACCCTACTCGAAATTGCCTTGGCTGTTTCCTCAATTGTTGTCTCGCAGTATCGATAGGATGGAGACGAAAACAAAGAACCCCAGTTTTCAAATTACCTCCCGATGGAGTCATTTGTAGTTTGCCATCCTTTTCGACCAGGGACTGAGCACACAAACACCAATGTAAACGATGACATGCATAGCTTTGCAACAGTGAACTCTTTTCTATACGAAAGATTTCGCGAATACAAACATTCACTGCATAAACTTTCGAGTCAGGAGCATCTAAAGCGCGCGGTTGATTCGATTTAACATAAGAAAAGCTTCGTATGACGAGAAAAAGGACAAGAGTCTGTTGCTGAATACGCCATTGGTTCAAGTGTCCTCGTCGCTTCGGTCACTGAATGTAAAGAGACTGAACTGTCCTCGATACAGAAAGAATGTGGTTGTGGGCAGAGCGGAGGACATCTTGTGGTCACTGTGTGGTGCAAATATTCGATGTCCTTTGTCATTTATCGTTCACGAGCGATAACATCTTCTTGCATGGGAAGGCGTGAGCCCTTCGATCGGCTTGCCAAATGTCAACATATTATGCGATAACTCCACGCTCCCAAGACTTGTGTGAACATGTTTATGTGTACAAGAGTGTTAAGTAGAATCGATTTGCTAAGCAAGATTTGACGAAAAATACGTCATACTACATATAATGATTAATGGCTAGGGTTTGCTATAGAACACGGAGAGAGTTTTCATAAAAGCTTGTTCGGCCAAAACTCTTGTACCGCAATTCATCTGTAGGTCAAGTTGTTTTATCTCTCCCTAAATTCTAGAGTTCGTGAACATAAAAAGACTGTAAATTACATAATTGTGGAAAATGCTTATATAGATAACATCTATGGAAGTTCAGGGTGAGGGTTGCGAATGAGCTCGGTGCCGGGAATGGCAAAGCAGCCAAGTTTGCGACGGCGGTGTCGGTGGTGACATCGGTCGCAATTGGCCTCGTCTTCTGGCTCCTGATAATGTTCTCTCACGACAAGCTGGCGTTGATCTTCACCACGAGCAAGCCCGTCCTTGAAGCGGTGAACAAGCTCTCGGTACTCCTGGCTTTCACCATCTTGCTCAACAGTGTTCAACCTATTCTCTCGGGTATGTAATGACGTCTTCAAGTACCGAATTATACTTTGATATTATTGGTTTGATCTTTTAGATAAGTCGATAGCGGTTCCACCAACTTTCTGGATGAAGCGTATGCTAATTGTTTGATGCGATTGCTTGGCATGCCTTTGGGATTTTGAAGGAGTGGCCGTCGGATCGGGGTGGCAATCCTACGTGGCGTACATAAACTTAGGTTGCTATTACCTGGTCGGGGTTCCGCTCGGCTTGTTGATGGGATGGGGATTTCACCAAGGTGTCATGGTATGTGCCACACTAGTTCATTTTTCTTGTGCTTTTTTTGCCATCAGTGGAAGATGCTTGAAATTTGTTCAGATTGGTATGACAGAAATCTATGATAGATAGATATAATTGAGACATTTCAATAGAGGGTTCAATCATTAGCTAAGGCAAAACAATTATGTGTGGAACAGGGAATATGGGCTGGAATGATCTTTGGAGGGACTGCAGTTCAGACCTTGATTCTGGCAGTAATCGTATGGCGATGCGACTGGGACAATGAGGTAACGAAGACTTCACCGAATCAATGATATTCTTTTTTAGCAATTCATAAGATTGACATCTAAAATTCCTTTGCTAAATGACGCGATAGACTGTAATTGAAAGGTTTTAGCGAGTCGGTCATATTCAACGAATAGTTTGTCACATTACTTAGTACATCAACCTTGCTAACCAAATTCAGGTTAATTGGAAGATTTTAAATTTCTCATTTTCTATATTTTTGGGCTACAATTTTTTCTTGCAGGCCCAAAAGGCTCGCATACACGTGAATAAGTGGGCGGACACAAAATGATCAGAAGCAAGGGTTGTACCACTTTATTTTAAACACTTTTCAGCTCCCAACTTATTGTAATCAAGTTTGATTAGAATTGCCGATTTACCTAATTATTACTAAACGACGCCAAGAGATTTACAATATGTGACCCAAAAAATGGATGCTCTAACCCAGGATCGATTGAAAGAGAAGGGTCATCCTTTGCCACATCAATATATCATTTGAATAGTTTTCTATAGTGTATGTGAGTGTGATGACACTAGTAATATTTCATTAAAAATTGCATATATCCATGTGAATGGGTACATGTTTTACAATATGCTTAATTCTAGCTCCCTTGAAATTCACTCCGTAATTGCGCTACATGGAAGATGAGAGAGAGTTGTCATAATCTGGTGGCAATTTTGGAAATTACTATATTTAACATCATTAGTATTATTCTTATTATATTGCGGCACATCGTGCCAATCCCTCTACAAAATGTCATTATTGTGCCAAGTTGCATATGCCACCACGACATCTCCTTTACTGGTTTCGATTGAATTTTCACTTACATCGGGTTGATTTAGTGGTTAAGTAACAGCTTTGCGTGTGAATTTGGTACATAATTCAAGCTTGTTCTATTGCACCACCGAGTGCAAACAATTCGAAGTTCGAGTCATTCATCTGATTGTTACTAGAGGTGAGCATGGTCCGGGTTGGGCCGGTCCACCCCCTAACCCTAGGACCAACCCGCATAGTGTTGGTCCTCAATTTTTGGGACCGAGGACCGACCCTATTGAGCCTGGGACCAAGGACCGGACCGACCCAATGGGTTCGGTCCGGTTCCAGGGTCAACCCGGGACCAACCGGTAATTTTTTTGTTTTATTTTTTGTACTCCTTGAAAAGGAAAACCTACTATTTCAAATTACATATCATCGACAATGCGGCGCTGTGCAACCAAACTATAAATACCATTACATAAATACCATTTCCTTTTCAACTTGTAAGAACTTTAAGATCACTATTTGAAGCTAGACTTCTCGATGACCCCAACAATCAACTCAAAAATAACCAGCTTCAACCCATAAACTCCAGACTCACCCTTTGAGTCAAGACTCACCCGCTCGAGCAACGAGCGGCGAGCACTTCAACCCATAAACTCCAGACTCACCCTTTGAATCAAGACTCACCTGCTCGAGCGACGAGCGGCGAGCGTCGAGCGGCGCGAGCATCGAAAGGCCAGAGGCGAGCGCCGAACGGGGTGAGTGTGAAGTTTTTTTCTTCGATTTTGGCAAAATGGAGAGTCTGAACTCTGAAGACTAAAGAGACTTTACAAGGAAGACTAAAAGAGAAGATCAGAAGATGTTGTCAGTACCACTACCAGAGGAGGACCGAGGGTTTTGGACACGTGAGAGGCGTGAAAAAAGACTAAAGAGAGACTCTGAGACTGTACAGGAAAGACTAAAGAGAGAAGTTGTCGAGGATGACGCCGTGAGTAACAGTGTAACACCGTTTTGGACACGTGAGAGGCTGAGAGCTGTTTCCCACCTTTTCTTTTTTGGTCAGTTTTTCACAGCATTTCACAATTTCAATTGGGTTCTCTATATAAAAAAAATTATAAATAATATATTAAATATATAATATATTTCAGATATATTATATATAATATATATAGTCCGGGTTGGTCAGGGTTGGACCGACTCTAAACTATCTGGACCGATGACCAACTCGCATAGTGCTGGTCCAGGGATCCCAGGACCAAGGACCGACCCAGTCCCCCTGGGAATCGGACCAGGACCGGCAGGGTTGGGCTGGTCCAGGATCGGTCCACGGTCAACCCTGGACCGATGCTCACCCCTAATTGTTACTCGCGTCTTACCTAATCCAAGATACAATGAGGTATATGTGGTTACCTAAGACGAGCTTTTTGGTCATAGAAAAAGTGAGCGTCATAATAAGTTTTAAAAAGGCAAATGTTAAAGAGTGCCCTTAAGATATTTATTAAGTCTTCGTAAACATAAAAAAGTCTATTTAAAATAAGCGACTTTTCAAAGTGTATTACCACTGAATTTGCAAAGTGTGTACATATGAGTGAACAAAGTCATAAATCTATTACACTTTTACCAATTCAATTCTAAATATTTTAATTTTGCCAATTGAGTCCTAAACATTTTCACGTTTTGCCAATTAAGTGTATCTAGTCAATTTTAATTGGAAATCACTAATGTGGCAGTCCAGCCAGTGCCGACTATCCTATGTGGCACGACTGCAGCTGGCATTAGCGTGCACAATTTTTAATATTTTTTTGATTTTTCCTATTTCTTTTCTTTTCTTTCTCTTCTTTTTTTTTTTTAAATTTTTTGGTTCAAAGGGCTGACGGCTACTGGCTAAGGGCCACGAAGCCCACGTCAGCCAGGGGTGAGGGTCATGGCCCTTGCTAGATTTAGCGAGGCAAGGGGCCGTGACCCTTCACGTGCCACGGCGAGGGCCTGGGCGAGGGCCGCCACACCCTAGCCTTGCTAGATCTTGCGAGGGCCATGACCCTCGCTCTTGGCTGGTGAGGGCTTTGTGGCCCTCACCTAGGGACTGGCGAGTGTCGCGGGCCCTTTGAACCAAAAAAAAAAAAGGAAAAAGAAAGAAAAGAAAACATAAAAAATTTTGAAAAAAATATTAAAATATTATTAAAAATTGTTCACGTCTACGCCGGCTGTGTCATGTAGGATGGCCGGCGTCCACGTCAATGGAGCAGACAAATCATGGTGTTAGTAGTGAGGTGGAGTTTCAAGTGGAGACTACGAAGACCTTGAAGGTAATAGGACTTGATACTGTAGATGAGGTTGCGATTCCTAAACTTGGTAATACCGAACAACCATCACAACCAGAGTACACTATAGCCACGGGCATATAGAGAAGGCAAATTAAACCACCGGTATGTTAAAATTATACATATATTGCTTATATATTGATTGTAGGTGACAAAGCGGAGACAGATGAGCCTTCAATGGGCTTGGCCGAATTCTTTAATCCCAATGCGGGTTTAATCCAGGTAATTTAATTAATTCAAAGGCCCATTAATTCTAGTCCAATTAAAATCGATTTATGTGGGCTTATTATTGTGCAAGTCAAAATCAACAATATTTTTGTTTTGGGGCCTAATTCATTATGCAATATATAACTAAATCGGTCGCAAAAATTTATATGTCAACAACTTCCACTTAGCAAAAAAGAATTTACACATTTTTCTTATTCTAAAAAACCAAACAAGTTTAGGAAGGTGCAATCATACTAACTCTCCTATTTAAGAGACCAATCATCAGTCTCGGTCAATTGTAATCACATTGATGTAATTGCAAATTTTACACAAAGTGTCATAACACAAGAAAAAAGAACAATATGAAATTCGGAGACATAAAGAACAATTTATTGATTAGCTAGTAACTCATTCCTCAAGTTGTGCACGGAAAATAATATGAAGAACGAATTTAGGATAGACGGTTAAGTGTGCCTCACATTTGATCAACAATGTAAAATAAAATGAGGTGACAAATTTTTATTGAGTATTTCAGCACATCTTCTTCTCAATTAAATATACCATCTGCAGGTTGTCAAATCAATTTCAAAAATCGATGTTTTAATGAATCAGTTATTTTCTTGTCATCACTTCTTACTTACACTGTAAAATCGTTGATCGGACATGAATGCAAAGATAAAATATCATCACATAAACTCATACAAGGGGTCATGCACTGAAATCAATCAATCATAATTGACATACTTAAGTGGTTGTTAATGGAGTTGAAGTTACCAAATTCTGAGAAGTCGGTATTAATTTATGCCTAATTGCTCCACATATAGTTCCTCTAATCGCATTTTCCAAACAACCAGAGCCAATCCAAATTTATCTTGTAAGAGATCCGCTACAAAACCAATACGTTTATTTTTCAAACCATTCATATCGTCAAGTGTGCCCATTCCGAATTTCATTACAATCAAATAATCTGCAGCTGACAATATATCTTGCATTAACAAAAATGTATTGTTCTGAGGTATATTAAGATTTAGTCTCCGATTCATATTTTGTCAACCAATCCTTCCCAATTCAAATCTTTGTTGAAAGAATTTCTTGTGTAATTTCTTATATGAGGATTTAGAAAATATCGGATCTCCACCTACACAAGCAAATTGTTGATATTTCTGTATTTGTTCTGTTGCACTTGACATGAAGTGTGATTCTTGGTCAACAAATAGGAATATTTACATTTGTAGTATCTTTTGAATATTAATTTCTTATATGTCGTTCAAGAACGAGGCTGGCGGCGATTGATCGGGAAGAGGTGGTTATATAACGCAGGCGAAGAAGAAAATAAAAAGAAAATGTGAAATGAATCTAGAATGTCCAATTTCATTTATTGCGAAAAGGAATTGGGTTAATACCACGAAAAATCGCAAACTAGTACGTATGTGACAACTTTATCCCAAACTATTTTTTTTACTACTAAAAACTCCAAACCTGTACATCTGTGATAAATTTACCCTTAATTAGTTTCCGTTAAATTTTATCATCAATTTGCTTAGTCGTATGACACGTGACAGTTGATGAGTGTACCGGTTTGGGGTTTTACCCTTCGTTTGTCACAAGTGTATTGGTTTAAGATTTTTGTGATATTAAACTGATTTAATGAAAAGTAACGGAAAATAAATTTGTCAAAAGTGTACCAATTTGGAGTTTTTGTGGTCAAAAAATTAATTTTGGATAAATATGTCAAATGTATACCAATTTGAGGTTTTTTGTAATTGAAAAATTAATTTTTGATAAATTTATCATGAGCGTACGATTTTTCATTGTAGCAACCCAAAGGAATTCGATCCTTGTTCTTTTTACATCAGGACAATACACTAATCGACTAACTTTTCTCTATATATGAAGTGACCAGCCGGAGAAAATAACACAGGGACGCAGATAGTCGCCAAGCAAAATGCCAACCCTGAACTCTCCAGAGAATGCAGAAAAGGTCCCTCTTCTGCAGAACTCGACCGATCGGCAAGACCGAGATGAGGTTACGGGAGAAGAAGAAGAGGGAGGAGATCAGAGCCTAGCCCAGAGGGTGTGGGTCGAATCGAAGAAGCTGTGGCACATCCTTGGCCCCTCCATCTTCAGCCGCGTCGTCTCCTACACCATGCTGGTCATCACCCAGGCCTTCGCTGGCCACCTCGGCGACCTCGACCTCGCCGCCATTGCCCTCACCAACAACC